GAGTCTCCTGCCTCCGCCTCCCAAGTAGCTGGGACCACAGGCGCCCACCACAACGCCCGGCTATTTTTTGGTTGTAGCCATTATTGTTGTTTGGCGGGTCTGGGCTGGATTTGAACCTGCCACCCTAGGTGTATGTGGCTGGTGCCCCAGCCGCTTGAGCCACAGGCGCTGAGCCAAGACATCCTAATCTTTATGCTAAATCTCAGAACTTTTTTTTTTTTAATTTAAAAAAAGTGAGATACTTTAATCTTAGGCAGAATGAAGCCCACTATTGCTACATATATGCCCCAACATTAACAGTTTATAAAGAGTATGTGAACCAAGACTAAAGACTTACTCTTTGGTGTTAACATTGTAGCAGGTTTCAGACCACAGCTATACTTAGAAAAACTATTTTAAATAATTGAATTGAATTCTGTTAAAATTCTGTATAGGGCCAACTCAGTTACAGGGCAGAGGCATAAAATTCTCAAATAAATGTTTCTGTAGATAGTAATTAGGACCATCTCAAAATGTACATCTTGCTACTACACTGAAAGGGACAAAAGCAGCAAAAACCTCACTGTATTTATCTGTGGTCACATGCTCAAATATGCCTTATCCACTTGAAAAATTTCAGATTCTTTGAAACACAAGACCTTCAATTCATCACCATCTTGAACTCCATTGAACCAAGTCACATGCCATAGCTGAAACAAAATCTTACAACTTTTAAATGTTGTATGAAATTTAAAAAGAAAGCTGCAGGTGGGGCGCAGTGGCTCCCTCCTGTTATTTTAGCATTCTGGGAGGCTGAGGTGGATGGACTGCCTGAGCTCATGAGTTTGAGACCAGCCTGAACCACACCAAGACCCCCGTCTCTAAAAATAGCCGGGTTGCTGTAAGCTGTGATGCCACAGCACTCTACCAAGGGCAACAATCAAAGACTCTGTCTCAAAAAAAAAAAAAAAAAAAAAACCACTAGACACTAGACACATGGCTATTGAGCACTTGAAATATGACAACTAAAGAACTGAATTTTAAATTTGATTTAATTATAATTAAAATTTCAATAGCCACATGTGGCTGGAGACTATTGTTGGATGTCACAGGGTTCTACTTAATAGTGCAGCACTGTGCCCTCTCAGCCATTCCCCAAGATATGTCCTTTCACCTATACTCTTAACTCCTAAACCTTCAGGTGAACCCTGATCACGAAATCCTACATTCCTATGTTCATCTGCCTACAGTTAGGTATTTTATGCTCCTCCTAAATGATCATTCTCTGGATGTCTCCTAAGGCCTTCAAACTCAACATGTTCCAAGCCAAATCCTTATCTAATGGGCCAGCCTACTTTTCTAGTATTCCCAGTCTTTCCTCCAACCACTGGCCTATGATATCCTTATAATTTGCCATTGTGTCTCTAATTCTTGTACCAAATACTTAGGTTTACTTGAGGTAAAGCAGCATCACACAGGTTTAAGAACAATGGACTTAACACCAGAGTTCCTAGTTAAATACTGACTTCCATTTACATACTGTGTGATGCCAACTTCTCTGAGCTTCAATTGTTTAGTCTATAGAATTGCCAGGAGTGTGAATGTGTGAATGTGAGAGCAGCATGTAAATGCAGGAATTAACCCCACTCTACCCAATGTGCCAATATCTCAGACTGTTTTTTTGTTTGTTTGTTTTAAAGGGCAACCTTGAGTCGATCTTCACGGTGACGCAGTTCCTCCCGGAGTGCTTCTCCACGCCAGTGCCCATCCTTTTTCAGAGAGAGACATTAGTGAGTCAACAAATACCACAACTGGGAGCCAACCAGCCTTTCCCTCCTAACACAGCACTCCCAAATCTGCTTTATAGCTTAACATATTGTTGACTGGCAGTTTTAGGCAGAAACTATCCATGTTGCCAGGTAACTCTTGACCGATCAGCAATATCGTTGGAATATATGGGGGAAGTGAGCTATCCTATGAGGCCCAGAGAATAGCACGATAAATGCTTACCATTTTGTGAACTTTGGGGAAATTCAGTTTTTCTTCAAAAGATCTCTCAGTCATGGTGAATGGAAAGTTCTCTTTCAAGCTTTCCAACTCTCCTTCTAGGTTTTCATTTCTTTCCAAAATAGCTTCTAGATCTGTTGGTAGTTCTGGAACAAACTGGTTGAGATTCTTCAGGCTGGTTCTGATTTCATCTTTGACTTCCGATTTAAGTGTCCTCATTGCGTCACTGATTTCCATCTGTCTTCTCTCCAAGTCTTTTTGGTTTTCCATCTAAAGAGTGAGTCAGACTCAAACAACAACCACTGTGGAAACTTTGGGACTTACTTGGAATGGAGGTACTTAATGTGCCATGTATTTAAAGACCTACAAATAGCAACTATTATGTTTACTAGAACTGTAAAAACTTGTAATTTTTCAAATACTCAAAAATCTACAAGCTACCTAGTGAACAAGTTTGATCATTTTGATTGCAGCAACTTCCATTTAGAAAAACATGTTGCATAAGGTTCCTCAATTGTGACTTACTCTATAGAAATCAATCTCTTTGGAGTCAGGCAGAGCTGGATAACAATTTCACTTCCAGGAAACATTCCCAGCATGACTTAAAGGCAAGTTAGCTAACTTCTATTCCTCTATTACCTCATTTATACATAAATACCTTCTGCTCAAAAATGTGAGAACTAAGTGAGAATTTATATGAAGCACCTTAGTGGTACCGATTAGCAAATATCATAATTAAATTCCAAATGAGAAAAAAATGCCATTTATTGGAACAAGTCATAAGTGATCTGGATTATAAATGTTAAAGCTGGAAGGGGCCTTAAAAATGATCACGTTTTCATTTTAAAGGTGAAAAATCTGGAGATCTGAGCAGTTTAGAGATTTCTTAAAGTGTTTACAGACTGCGTTTGATATCTGAGAGACTGTCCTATGTGGTTCTACCCATAAAGAGCCTAGTGAAGATATTAGATTTAAATCTACTGCTAATTGTCCTACCAAGTTTGCAAAGGCATCTAAAATCACCCAGGGCTATGGCCTTTATTTATTTATTTTTTGAGACAGTCTCAAGCTGTCATCCTGGACGGAGTGCTATGGCATCATAGCTCATAGCAACCTCCAACTCCTGGGCTCAAGTGAGTCTCCTGCCTCAGCCTCCCAAGTAGCTGGGACCACAGGCGCCCGCCACAACGCCCGGCTATTTTTTGGTTGCAGCCGTCATTGTTGTTTGACGGGCCCGGGCTGGGGATTCGAACCTGCCACCTTAGGTGTATGTGGCTAGAGCCTTAGCCGCTTGAGCCACAGGCGCCGAGCCAGTTTTTCTATTTTCAATAGATATGGAGTATCCCTTTTGCTAAGGCTGGTCTCAAACTTGTGAGCTCAAGCAATCCACCCACCTTGGCCTAGGATTATAGGTGTGTGCCACTGTGCCTGGCCAGTACTATGGCTTTTAAATAATTTTTTGAAAAGTTAACTTTTCTTAAACTAAGGGTAGGTGTATGTGTGGGGTGGGGGTGGAGAATTGGAACCACAGATGAAACGGGAGGGGCCCACAAGGGATCATCCAAAGAATATAGCATAGCAAGGCTAAGAGGATGGCCACAGGCCAGAGGACACCAGGGACATCTAGGATTGGAGACTGCTAGTTTAAGCATACGCTGGTTTCATGTTCTCCACCTGGTTACATTACATGCTATCAAAGGTTTCCCCTGGACTCTTTTTCTTGCTTGGGGAGTAGGCTGGGAGGTTGGCTTCTATAAACTTATTTGTGAAATCTAACATTTCAACATAGTTTTTGGGGATGTGATAAGATATCATGTTAAAGAATAACTTTTTAAAAAAAATTTTTTTTTAAATTTTTGAGACAGAGTCTCACTATGTCACCCTTGGTAGAGTGATGTGGTGTCACAGCTCACAGCAATCTCAAATGCTTGGGCTTAAGCAATTCTCTTGCCTCAGCCTCCCAAGTAGCTGGGACTATAGGCACCCACCACAATACCCAGCTATTTTTTGGTTGTAGTTGTCATTGTTGTTTAGCTGGTCTGGGCCAGATTTGAACCCACCAGCCTTGATATATGTGGCTAGCGCTGTAACCACTGTGCTATGGGTGCCAAGTCAACTTTTTTTCTCTGAAAAACTAACATAAAAAGCTTATCAACCTTCAAAAATTTTAAAAAGTACATATGTGTGTGTATATATATATTTTTCTTATTTCACTCTGTGCCCTGTAGAGTACTGTAGCGTCATAGCTCACAGCAACCTCAAACTCATGGGCTTGAGCAATCCTCTTGCCTCAGCCTCCCAAGTAGTTGTGATTACAGGTGTGTGCCACAATGCCTAGGTAGTTTTTCTATTTTTAGTGAAGATGGGGTCTCATTCTTGCTCAGGCTGTTCTCACAGGGTCTCACTCTTGGTCAGGTTGGTCTTGAACTCCTAAGCTCAAGGGATCTTCCCAAAGTGCAGCCACCGCTCCTGGCTTTTTTTTTTTTTTGAGACAGTGTCTGACCCTGCTGCCCAGGCTAGAGTGATATGGTGTCAGCCTAGTTCACAGCAACCTCAAACTCCTGGGCTCAAGCAATCCTCCTCTCTGGCTTCACCCTCCTAAGCAGCTAGGAATATAGGTACCCACTACAATCCCCGGCTAACTTTTTTTTCCTTTCTTTTTCACTAGGACTGGGGTGTTGCACTTGCTCAGGCTAGTCTTGAACTCCTGAGTTCAAGCAATCATCCTGTCTTTGACCTAGAATTACAGGTGTGAGCCATTGCACCTGGCCTAAAAAAAGTATATTTTTTAACAATATTTTTTTTCTTGTGACGGTGCACTTCTTTAAAAAACATTTTTATAATCAGCTTTTACCAATTTCCATAAAGAAATGTCCCTCTTAAGAGAGATATTATAAAACAATACTATCTTCAGTTGTTCATCTCCTAGTTTCAAATTAGTATTGAACATATGGGGTGCTTGCTTTCCATTGTTATAATACAATCTGCCTGAGCCCAAAGGGCGGTGAGAGTACATGAGGAGGCCTCTGTCCCAGGCTAGCAGTGGGGCTTCCTGGGCACGCACCTGCTTTTTGAGCTCCGTGTACTCGTGCTGCATCTGGTTGAGCTCCTTCATCAGGCGCTTGGCCCGCTCGTGGTTGTCCTGGGCTACCAGTTCGATTGTGGCCATTTCCTTTTGCATGCAGCTGTTCTCTTGTTTTTGCTCCTAGCAAGGAGGAAGAAAACAACTCTGAGATGCAGCATGTGGTGGTGTGGGTTGCAGGCTTACACACTCACTAGCTCGATAATTTCATTTCCTACCTGGGTCTCAGCTTCTCTAGCTGTACTTTGGAGATAATTCTACCTCCCTTTACTGGCCAGATAGAGTATAGCTGGGAGTAAATACCTGTCAGAGTCTTTTAACCCAAAGTCTGAATCATTACCTTTGATAATAAGTTACTTTCCCTTTCTGAGCCTCCAGTAATTATCTGTAAAATGGGAACAATAATACCCACCATCACTGACATGGATTACTAAGAGAATTAAATTTTAGACATCTGTATTCTATCTTTACAATCTTCTTGTGTATCATCAGTTGCCTATTACTAGTTTTTTCAGGAAATATACATGGTTTAAATGTAAACATTCCTTTCACACAGTAGGGCTCCATGAATTCCTCTAGACCAGTGTTTTTCAACCATTTTTAACTCACGGCACACCTGAACCTATAATCGTCCATGGCACACTTAAATTATGTTGAACAAAAAACAAGTTAAGGAATATACTTACTATGCTTTGAATTTCTTTTGAAAATAATTTAATTAATGATCTTTAAAAATTTTCACGGCACACCTAAGACCCTCTCATGGCACACCTGCCACTGTTTGAAAATCACTGCTCTAGAGGGTATTGGAAAAATCTGTTCCCATGGTAGTCCCATTGCTACACACCTGCCAGCACCCACCATACATTGTTCTGAACTGAGTTTTGCCTCCCAAATGTATTTTAGGGATGAAAGTATGGTAGATTGAGCTTCCTGGTTTAGGGTGGCACCTATGGCTCAAAGGAGTAGAGCACCGGCCCCATGTGCCAGAGGTGGCAGGTTCAAACCCAGCCTCAGCCCCCCCCAAAAAAAAAACAAAAACAAAAAAACTGCATACTGAGCTTCTTGGTTTTAGGATGACATGATGGTTAAATCTAATATTGGCCAAAAGGGGCAGGATGCAAAGAATTTGTTAAATACTGACTAAAGATGTGTAAAAATGTCTATAGAAGCCTTCTCCAACATGCCGCCACCCCTTCCAGTGCAGGTGTCAGCAGAGGCTCTCTAGAAGAATGGACTATCAACTTTGTGCTGACACTGACTATTCACATGACAGTCTCCTCAGCCAGCCAGCCAGTAAGAGCTCCTGAGGGGCTGCAGCCCAGTCTCAAGCAAAAGTTACCATCAGCTTCAAGAAAAAAACATGCATAAATACATCAATAACAACAGTTGAGTAGTTTCTTTTCTCTATATTGAGGTGGTATTGCAGTTTAAAAATTTACATTTATCACTTCCTCACAAACTGCCAGGGCAGCAGGTAGGTACTCACAAGAAGGTTCTTCTCCAGCTGGCTCCGCTGGCTCTTTAGTGCTTCCTTCAGACTGGTCACCTGCTTCTCAGCTTTCTTTCTTTCTGTCAAGAACTGGTTCCGCAGTTGGCTGAAGTCTGCCCTCATAGAGTCTGCCTCTTTCTGAAGAGTCAGCAGCTCACTTGACTTTTCTATTAATTGCTGCTCCCTTTCTGAAAGCTGCCGTTCTGAAATGAGCATTTTAAGTAGACTCAGCCAAAGGCCCTGGGCCAGCTGTGGGCAGAGCTTTCTTTCCCTTGTGGTAGACCACATAATAGTAATATGCCACCTACTCAGGTGTTTTCCTCCATTCCCAAGTCTTACAAGCCTACTCTGACCCACACCAAAGTCCCTGAAAAAGGCCCAGATAAAGGTGTCTCTTGAAGTAATTGGTTCCTGGAGGGCGTGATGCCAAAGTGACAGCTACCATCTTCCCTTTCAATTCTTAGAACAATGAGAGTAAACAGGGAAGGAATCCCGAGGTGTGTGGAACATGGAACGGACTGAAATGTTTTTTATAAACCTTGAATTTAATAGAGACACTCGTGAGAGCGGGACGTGCGGCTTCCAGCTGGGAACTTTGGTACTGTCAGCAACCAAAGAGCAAATTGAATATGGGTGATACTGAGAAAGGCAAGAAGATTTTTGTTCAGAAGTGTGTCCAGTGCCATACTGTGGAAAAAGGAGGCAAGCACAAGACTGGGCCAAATCTCCATGGTCTCTATGGGAGGAAGACAGGTCAGGCTGCTGGTTTCTCTTACACAGATGCCAATAAGAACAAAGACATAACCTGGGGAGAGGATACACTGATGGAGTATTTGGAGAATCCCAAGAAGTACATCCCTGGAACAAAAATGATCTTTGCTGGCACTAAGAAGGGAGAAAGGGCAGACTTGATAGCTTATCTCAAAAAATCTACAAATGAGTAATAGTTGGCCATTGCCTTATTTATTACAAAAGAGAAATATCTCATGGCTTTTTTTTATGTGTACCATAATTTGATTGGTCTCATTTACCAGAATTCAGATCATGAATGAGTGACAGAATATTTTTGTTGGACAGTCCGGATTTAACTAAGACTGGCTTGTGGTTAAATGAATATGATCGGTTTTTTATAGTGATTCCAGTTCAATAAATGCTATCACTGTTTTCCATTTCAAAAAAAAAAAAAAAAAGAGACACTCCTTCAAAGGGGGCAGTGCAGTGGAAAGAGTACATGATTTGGAGCTGATTCCCACACTGGCATGAACCCCATTTTATAGATGAGAAATGTATTTCCTAATGTTCAATTGCAATCATGTGTACAAACACTTGGTACATAGTGAGTACTCAACAAAGAGCACTTAGAAATAAAAGTGATATTAAAAAGAGACTTTTCTTATCACCCTATTTAGAGTAGTACTTTGCCTAGATTTTATTTTTCATGACTTTTGTCACAGTCAAAACTCAGCATAATTTCATTTTCATAAGGAATTGATTAGGTCTGGTTAGGTCAAGAGTTCCCCAGGTAAAAGGAATAACCTTTTCAGATCCCCAGGTCCACAATAGTTTCTGAGCATTATTAAGCCCTAAAGCCAGAAAAGAAAGAAAAAAACCATTTACTGATGTAAGAAAAATCACTTATCCTGGATTCCCATGTCAGCTCTATTTACATATGGTTCCAGAAAGGGTATACTGGCCCAAAGTCAAATGCCTACATTCTGGTACCATTCAGTATGTCAAGTATGGACAGAAGAACTACTAATATTGTTTTTTGACTGGCTGAGATGAAATGGATCATTGTCCCCAAAACTCATAAATAATATACTTTAGAGCATCTTTTGGCAGTTCTTTGCTTTAATGTTCCACTTCCTTGAGATAGCATTTTCAAAGGAGACAAATAGTAGAGTAAAAAGACTTGCTCATCAGTCTCAATATCAAATGTCTATTCCATAAAGACACCAATTCCCTTTGTTTCTCTGAACCTGATTCCTCATCTTGCACTGGACTATCAGACTTCCTGCTTTGCTGCTTCTGCCTCCTTTCTGGGCTCTGGCTGGGGCCTGAGTCTCTATTATATGCTTTACAAGACAACCAGCAGAGCCACACACACCCCTCCCCATGTATGTCTAAAATACTTACTGGTTTGGGAGAGTGTCTTCTCGAGGCTCTCACCCCACCTCTCCTCTTGCTGCAGAGTCCTGACACGCTCTTCAGCCACCAACACCTTTGTGAGCATCTGGTCCAAGTTGCTTTTCTGCTCTATTATTTCCTTTTCCAGCTGGTACTGCTGTTCCTTCAGTGTCACTTTACTGGCTTCTAATTTTTTTTCTTCACTTTCTCTCTCTTTCTGGAGTTTCTGCAGCATCTATTATTAATAGAGAATAACCTTAGTCATAAAATTGCAAAGACTCAAGTTTCCCAGATGTGGATACCTTCATGGACATGAGATTTCAGTTCAATAGAAAGTAGAAAACAGCCCCCAGGGACAGTCCTTGTAAGGGGATCAAGTTGAGGCTGGGAAACTATCTGGCCAACACGTGAGGAAGGGATTGAAACTGCAAAGGACCAATGTTCTATGATTTTAAAGATCCATGGGTATGAATCCCAAGGGAGTCACAGGCAGCCAGGGCAAAATCCTCACAGGAACAATAAAATTCTTCCTTTTATATAAAATTGCATATAGTACCGTTTCTTGTTGAACTAGTTTGAGCTTGTTTTCCTCAATTTCTTTCTGAAGCACATGAAGTTGTTGTTGTTTTGTCTCCCCTTCTTTTTGACAGTTTTCAATCCTCTTTATCCATTCACTGATGTCATCCTGGAGTTGGGTCTGCTCACTAACCAATACATCCTGACGTTTGGTGGTGTGAAGCAGGTCCTTTAGGTAAAAGAACAAATTTGAAACTACTAACAAAGCCGTCTTTACTAGCATTGGCCAGTACCATCCCATATTTACTAAGTCTGACACAAAGAGAAGCATAAAAGCTCCATAACCTTTATACCTCAACGAACTTATGGAAAGGTATTCAGAACTAATTTAATTAGCTTTCCTCTTTATAGTACCTAAAACAATAAGGTGACAAAAGCTGTCAAAATCTCAGCAAGAGACTCAGTTCCTCTGAGCTTTGGCTGCTTGTCACTGAGGTGGGGATAAGTATCACCAATCTCACAGGACTCTTCAGGAGATTAAGAAAATTTGTGAATAAGACTTAATTCTTTTTGAAAATGAATCTAAAGTCTGGTTTTGTTACTAACTGAAATAATTATACAGGTTCAAAAACTCAGAAAATAATAAATACTTCTTTAAGAAATCAAATTAAGGATTTTCCCACACAGAAAATATTCATTAGAATCTGTGTAAGATTTTTAAAAGAGTGACTAGTTTGATTTTAAGTTTTGTATATGTTAGAAACACAGAATACTAAGGTAGAAGAGAATTTGGATGTCTAATCCAATACCTAATTTACATAGCAGAAACTGAGTCCCAGAACGTGCTTGAGGTTCTGAGTCCCAGAACGTGCTTGATGTCTAATCCAATACCTAATTTACATAGCAGAAACTGAGTCCCAGAACGTGCTTGAAATTCAAACTATAGCACTATTCTCACAGGACAATATGGAATTATCTTTAGGAAGATCAGCAGAAGTACAGAGATGAAAGATCTGCTCTATTCAACATCAGACAAGATGGAGGCCCAAATGGAGCAGTGACTTTGTAGCTCAATGAATAATCAAATCTAAGCCCAGCCTTCAGAGGCCTCAACTGTGACATGGATTAGAGATGGTCCATCTGGTCTCTGCAGCCCACAGGACTGATGGGGGACTGCCATTGGGCTCTGGTCTAGCCACCATCCTACTTACTAGCTTTCTTTTTTCCTTAGGGCTAATTTGTAACCTTTATTCTTTTTTTTATTGTTTGTGATTCATTGAGGGTACAAAGAATTATACTGATTGCATTTGTTAGGTAAAGTCCCTCTTATAATTGTGTCCCACCCCCAAGGTTTGCCATATATTGTGACCCCTCCACACCTCTCTCCCTGCTTCCCTCTTCCTGCTCCCTCATTCCCCTATCCCCCCACCTTGTATTAGATCATCTGCTGCCTTCATATTAGAATTGAGTACAATGGATTCTTGCTTCTCCATTCTTGTGATGCTTTACTAGAAAGAATGTGTTCCAATTCAATCCAGGTTAAAACAAAAGATGTAAAGTCTACATCTTTTTAAATGGCTGAATAGTATTCTATGGTATACATATACCACGGCTTATCAATCCATTCCTGGGTTGGTGGGCATTTATGTTGTTTCCACATTTTGGCGATTGTAAATTGAATTATGATAAACAGTCTAGTGCAAATGTCCTTATGCTAAAATGATCTTTTTTCTTCTGGGTAGATAGCTAGCAATGGGATTACAGGATCAAATGGGAGGTCTGATTTGAGTTCTTTGAAGATTCTCCATAAATTTGGAATCCTCCTTTGGAAGGAGGATTCTCCTTCCAAAAAGGCTGAATTAGTTTGCAGTCCCACCAGCAGTGTAAAAGTGTTCCCTTCTCTTCACATCCATGCCTGCATCTGCAGTTTTAAGACTGTGATGTGGGCCATTATCACTGGGGTTAGGTGATATCTCAGGGTGGTTTTGATTTGTATTACTTACTAGCTTTGAGTAACACCTTGTTTGAATCAGGAGTTCTATGGCTAAAATAAATTAGAAAACCACTGCTCTGCACTAAATTATTTTTTTTATTTTCTATTTTTTGCAGTTTTTGGCTGGGGCTGGGTTTGAACCTGCCACCTCTGGCATATGGGGCCAGCGCCCTACTCCTTTGAGCCACAGGCACCACCCTGCACTAAAATTTTTATTTGTAATGATAGTGTTATGCAAATAGCCCTATGGGACCTGCTGTCATGAAAATGAATGAGGCTACTTGATTTTTTTATTTAAACCAATTGTCTGCATGCCTTCAGGATAGTACTAAAAGATTACATTTGTTGATCTTACCTGTTTTGCTAGATTCAAACGGTCTTGCACCTTAGCTAGTTCATCCTGTAGTGAGTTTACTGCTTCTCGTTTTTCTACAGAAATAACATGTTCATAAAGTAAGAAATATATATATGTATGTGTGTATGTGTATATATGTCTGTGTGTGTGTGTATATATATATATATATATATTTTTTTTTTTTCCCCTGAGACAGTCTCACTTTGTTGCCCCAGGCTAGAGTGCTGTGGCATCAGCCGAACTCCGAGCAACTTCAAACTCATGGGCTCAAGTAATCCTCCTGCCTCAGCCCCTCCAGAAGCTGGGACTACAGGCACTCACCACAACGCCTGGATAATTTTTCTATTTTTAGTAGAGACAGGGTCTCATTCTTGCTCAGGCTGGTCTTGGGTGTGAGCCATCTCCCCCAGCCCTATATATATATATATAATCCCACCAGCCTCCCAAAAAAGTAGGATAGAAGTTAACTGAAGCTAATTTCTGTTACATGTATGACGATGCCATGCCACACTTAAAGGCCAAAAGACAGAGTTACCCAGATTTGGACATGAAGCTCAGGTTTGTAAAGATTTTCATGTTCAAAACCTCACCATAAAAATATTTACATGGTGCATGGTTTAATAACAGGTACCAGCAACGTAGATTGCTAGTAGAAAGGTAAATTTAGTACAACCTTCCAGGAAGACAATTTGGGAATAAATTTTATGTCTATACTAGTTTTGTCAATTACTAGCTGGGTAAACTTAAGCATTCACTTCTTACTTAAGCAGTCACAAGAAAACTAAGCTTCAGTTTCCTTATCTGTAAATGGGTTAAATAATAGTTTCTATGTCATAAAAATGTTATGAGGATTAAGTGTCTTATGCTTAGTAAATGCTCAACAAGTCTATCTTAGCTAGAATTGCTCAGCAGTTTTCCTAAATAAATTACCATGAATATTTATCAATATTTAGTAATTTAAAAATCTTTATTATTTACATCTTTTTTTTTTTTTTTGAAATAGAGTCTCAAGCTGTTGCCCTGGGTAGAGTGCTGTAACGTCACAGCTCACAGCAACCTCAAACTCTTGGGATTAAAAGATTCTCTTGCCTCAGCCTCCCAAGTAGTTTGGACTATAGGTGCCCACCACAATGGCTGGCTATTTTTTTTATTTCAGCTGTCATTATTTTAGCAGACCAGGGCTGGGTTCGAACCCACCAGCATCGGTGTATGTGGCCCATGTCCTACCCACTGAGCTACGGGTGCCGCCTACTTCTTTGTTTTTGTTTTTCAAACCACACAAACACATTCCTAGGAAAAATCTGGAAGGGTATTCATCAAACTGTTAATGGTAATTATCTGAGGAGTTGAGGTCAATAGCAATTTTTTTTTTTTAAAACAGAGTTTCACTTTGTCACCCTCGGTAGAGTGTTATGGAGTCATAGCTCACAGCAACCTCAGACTCTTGGTCTCAAGCAATTCTCTTGCCTTGGCCTCCTGAGCAGCTGGGATTATGGGTGCCCCCAACAAAGCCCAGCTATTTTTTTTTTTCTTAGAGATGGATTCTCGCTCTTGCTCAGGTTGTGAGCTCAGGTAATCCACCTGCCTCAGCCTCCCAGAGTGCTAGGATTACAGGCATGAGGCACTGCATCCGGCTCATAACAATTTTTATTTAATCTTTTTGCTACATTTTAAAATTATTTTCTAAGGAACGTGAATTGGGATTTTTGTTGTTGTTGTTGTTGTTAAAAAAAACAGCTTTATTAAGCTGATAAAATTCACATATGTAAATCTTATTTAAAGTATATAATTCAAAGGCTATAAAGTATATTCAGAGTCATGCAACTATTACCACAATCTGGTTTTAGAAAGAAGCCCCATGTCCACTAGCATGAATTAATTCTGAATAAGAAAAATCAAACAATCAAAGACTCTAACAAAGGGGAAGGAAATCACTTTCCCTGTCTGCTGCCTCATACCTTGTAGCTGCTGCTGCACTGCTACTATGTCGTTATGCAGTGTAAGCTTGTCTCTGTATAGTTGGTCTAGTTCCTTCTTCAGTTCTCTGACATTCGATTCCATCTTTTCTAAGTTTGATTTTTCCATTTTGCTGTTTTCTTCAGTTGCTGCTAAAACCCTACCACATAGAGAATAAGACCATCAAATATAAAATATTCAAGTGCACATAGAGATGACTGAGGAATAGTGTTACCCTTTCACAATAAACAGGTATGGAAAATCTGAATGATTATAAACCTTCACAAAACTTAAATCTTGTCATCAGTTTTCGAGAAGATTTTTTGTTTTAAAGTGACTCACTAAAGTTTTATAAAAATCATGAATAAAAAAAGGAAAACATTCAGAATGCCAAAAGTCTAAGAGATAAAAATGGATGGGTAACTTGTGAAAAGTTGAACAGCAAGAAACAATTGTATGTACAGTGGGACCTGTCACTTAAAGAGACAAGCATGAGCATGTGTTCTAGTACACAAAGGGAGCCATGCAGTGTGGACTTGTTTTTGTCTGGATTCTCTCATCAGTACAATTACTTTGAGATCCATCCATGTTGATTTATGTTTCACTACTCCATTCCCTTTATATTGGTTTTTTTTTTTTTTTTGAGACAGAGCCTCAAGCTGTCCCCCTGGGTAGAGTGCTGTGACATCACAGCTCACAGCAACCTCCAACTCCAGACTCAAGGTAGTCTCCTGCCTCCGCCTCCCAAGTAGCTGGGACTACAGGCGCCCGCCACAACGCCCAGCTATTTTTTGGTTGCAGCCATCATTGTTGTTTGGCAGGTCCGGGCTGGATTCAAACCCACCAGCTCAGGTGTATGTGGCTGGCGCCTTAGCCGCTTGAGCCACAGGTGCCGAGCCCCCTTTATATTGTTGAGTGGTAGTCTGCAATATGCATGTACTACTATTTATTTATCTACATACCAGTTGATGGACATTTGGGTCATTTCTCATTTTTTGACTATTACAAATAAAGCTGCAATGACCATTAGTATATTCTCTGTGTGGAAAATATTCATTTCTCTTGAGTAAATATGTAGGAGTGGAATGGCTGGGTCTTCTGGTAGGTTTATGTTTGATTTTTAAGCAACTGTTAAACTGTTTTGCAAAGTAATCATACCATTTCTTTCTTTCTTCTTTTGTAGGGGAAGGGACATTGAAACTCAATGAAAGTCACACTATTTTATATTCTCAACAATCATGTATGAAAGGTTCTCATTTAACATTTGGCATGGTTATTCTAAAAGGTGTGCAGTGATGTCTCACTATGGTTTTAATTTGCATTTCCCTAAGCTGAGCATCTTTTCATGTGCTTATTTTCCATCCTTCTATCTCCTGAAATGTCTGTTCAAATCAGACATTTTACACATTACAAATTTTTTACACATTTAAAAGACTGGGTTGTTTTATTATAGTGTTTTGAGAGCTTTTTACATATTCTAGATATAAGTCTTCTATCAGATACGTGGTTGCAAAGATTTTTCTTCCAGCCTGAGATATGTCTTTGTATTACCTTTACAGTGTCTTTTGAGGAACAGATCTTTTAATTTTTTTTTTTTTTTTTTGAGATAGAGTCTCATTCTGTTACTCAGGCTACAGTGTTATGGCCTCAGCCTAGTTCACAGCAACCTCAAACTCCTGGGTTCACGTGATCCTCCTACCTCAGCTTTCCAAGTACCTGGGACTATAGGCACCTACCATGACACCAGGCTAGTTTTTCTATTTTTAGTAGAAATATGATCTTGCTCTGGCTCAGGCTAGTATTGAACTTTTGAGCTCAAGGGATCCTCCTGCCTCAGCCTCCCAGAGTGCTGAGATTATAGGTGTGAGCCATCATACTAGTCAGACATTTTAAATTTTGATGAAGTCTAATTTTATCAATTTATTATTTTATTGATCATGTTTTTGCTATGATATTTAAGAAATTTTTGCCTAACCCAAAGTTGCAAAGATTTTTTATCATATTCTACTAGAAGTTTTATATTTGGGTTTTACATTTATGTTTATAGTTCATTTTAAGTTAATTTTATATGCAGTATGAGGTTTGGATTAAGGTTCATATTTTTGGTTCTGGATATCCAACTGTTTCAGCAACATTTTTTGAAAAGGCCATCTTTTCTCTGTGGGGAGAGAGAAAAGGCTTCACTAAAAGCCTTTGTATTTTTGTCATAGTACATGTATAGTTTTTTTCTGGCCTGGGGAGTGTGTCTCGAGCCTGTAATCCCAGGGAGGTGGAGGTGGGTGGATTGCCTGAGCTTAGGAGTTCAAGACCAGCCTGAGCCAGAGTGAGACCCTGTCTCTGCTAAAAATAGAAAAACTAGCCAGGCATGGTGGCAGGCTCCTCCAGAGGTGGAGACCACTTGGGAGGCTGAGATAAGAGGATTGCTTGAGCCCAAGAGTTTGAGGTTGCTGTGAACCATGAGGATGTCACGGCACTCTATCCAGGGTGAATGAATAAGACTCTGCATCCAAAAAAAAAAAAAAAAGAAATATAGTTTATTTCTGGACTTTGTATTCTGTTCCACTGATCCATATACCTACCATTATTATATCAATACCACAGCGTTTTGATTACTACAGTTTTATATAAAGTCTTACAGTCAAAAAGTTTAGTCCTAAAATTTTGTTCTACTTTTCCATACCTAAAAAATTATATAAATTCTATTCTAGGTTCTTTGTGTTTCTATATGAATTTTAGAACAAGCTGGTCAATTTCTACTCCCCCCCCCCCAAAAAAACAGCCTTTGTTTTGGATTTTATTTTTTTTTGAGACAGAGCCTCAAGCTGTCACCCTGGGTAGGGTGCAGTGGCATCACAGCTCACAGCAACCTCCAACTCCTAGGCTCAAGCGAGTCTCCTGCCTCAGCTTCCCAAGTAGCTGGGACCACAGGCACCCGCCACAACGCCTAACTATTTTTTGGTTGCAGCCATCATTGTTGTTTGGAGGGCTGGATTTGAACCCACCACCTTAGGTGTATGTGGCTGGCGCCTTAGCCACTTGAGCCAGAGGCACCGAGCCTGTTTTAGATTTTTATTGGGTAATTATTTTGAATCTATAGGTCAATTTGAGGAGAGCTAAATTTTTTTTTTGAGAGCAAAATTTTAACATTATTATCTTCCTATCCATGAAGGAGGTATACATCTCCATTTATTTTCAGCGTCTATCATTTTACTTAAAAAACCAGAGAGTGACTACAGTCCTAGCTACTCATGTGGCTGAGGTAGGAGTCTGAGGCTGCTGTGAGCTTGGATCTTACTTGGCACTATAGCCTGGGCCAAGAGTGGGACCCTGTCTCAAAAAACAAAACAAAACAAAACAAAACAAAACAAAACAAATACCACAAAACTCCCCCCAAACAGATCTTTGTAAAAAATGCCTTTAGAGAAAAAAAAACTAGAAAGAAATTCACTAAAAATGCTATTGGTGAACTGTATTATGATGCCAACTTTATGGTGTATTTTTTTCCTTATCTCTATCTTCCCATGTTTTTATAGTGTGTTATAATGCTTTGGACTTCAAAAAGTGATCCAACAAGCTTATTTGTTCTTGCTCTCACCTTTTGGTTTGTGCCACCTTCTTTTCCCAAATGTCACATTTCTCCTGGAGATCTTCCTTTTCTTTGTTCAAACGCTCAACACAAGACTGTAATACTTGTGACTCAGAAGTCATTTGCTCTATTTCTCCTTTTTCTCTCTCAAGGAGCTGCTTCTGCCATTCTATTTCCCCTTTCTGTCGCTGGGCTATCTGCTGCAAATTCTCTAACTCCAGTTTCTCCTAAATCAGATAAAAGAGACTCAAATATCCTAAATTTGAAAGAATGCAGTTTGCTAAGAGTACAATGGTTTTGTTCATTACCTCTAGCACTTCAACCTGAATCTTCTCTAACTCAGACATTTTTTGGTCATGTTGTAGCTTCAAACCTTGTAGCTCATTGTTTTCAAGTTGCAACATGTCCAGAATATTCTTTAGTTCTAACAGACAGAAACAAATCATGGCCCATGCTATTAAATAAACTTGAAAACATTTATAAAATGAAACCAAAAATAATGCTATATTGAATGATACAAGATAATAAAAAAAAATTTTTGTTGAGTTGCATCAATAGTACTAATTATATTTTTGATGGAAAACTTTTCTGAAAGTATTATTACACATTATTTGATTTGTTAAAAAAAATTTAATGAAGATTTGGTTCCAAAAGTATTTGCCTCCACAAAAAAGGATGAACTAAGAGAATTTAATTAATTAATTAATTTTTTGCTTCATTCACATAAAAAAGCCCAGGAGAATTTTATATAAATAAAATTGACCAAAATAAATAGAAAAAACTTTAAAATAAAGACTGAGATTTGTATAATTTTTTTGCACGCCTAACCAGGTACAACACATATTGTCTAGGTGATAGTACACTTATAACTTTGACTCAAACATTACAAAAGCAATTTATGTAACTCAAATGTTTGTACCCTTTTAATATTCTGAAATAAAAACTTAAAAATTAGGCCACGTGTGGTGGCTCACGCCTGTAATCCTAGCACTCTGATATGCCGAGGTGGGTGGATTGCTTGAGCTCACAGGTTAGACTAGCCTGAGCAAGAGCGAGAGCCCCCGGGTGTTATGGGGGGCACCTTTAGTCCCAGCTACTTGGGAGGCTGAGGCAAAGAATCGCTTGTGCCCAAGTATTGGAAATTGCTGTGAGCTATGACACCATGGTACTCTACCGAGGGTGACAACGTAACACTGTTTCAAAAAAAAAACTTAAAAATCCCATTTTTTTGCCCTTTGAACTACAAGTATTTAAACATTAACTTTTTCTAAAGGATAGAAATATTTGCTCACTGTAGAAAATTTGGAAAATACAAAAAAGAAGGCATAAAAGGAAAAAATGAAAACCCATTATCATCCTACCATCCCAAGATGATCACTATTACATAACATTTTGATGTATTTTCTTTCAGGAACTTGTATGCACATGCACAAACGTTTTAAAAATAAATTTGGGGGTGGGTGGGCCTGTAGCTCAGTGGTTAGGGCGCCGGCCACATGCTCCAGGGCTGGTGGGTTCAAACCCAGCCCAGACCTGCTACACACACATACACAAAAATAAATAAAATAAAATAAATTGGGACTATACTCCATTTCATTCTTCTCCGAACACACCTGTGCGTCATTAAATGTTATAAATAATTTGGAGATAAACTGGTCTCTGTCTCCACATTTTGTCATTATAAATATTGCTGTGATGTATATAAATGCGTGCCTTCTCTGGATGGGTAAAAATGGGCTCACTGGTTCAACAGATGTGAATTTTAGGAATTCTGAAACACTGAGAATTCTTCAATTGACAACATGTTAAGTGCTCTTCTTTTAGCATACTCTAATCAGCAATAAATATGATTATTTTGCTTTTAAATGAACTTTATCAATTCAAATGGCTGAGAATATATTCCTTTTACAACCTGCTTTTCTTTGCTTATCATTAGTAAGGTTAAATTCTAGAAGTTTATTTGGTCATTGATATTTTTTCTGTGACCTGGAATATAGACAGTTCCAACTTCAAGCTTTAAATGACTGTTTTCCTTTAAACTTACCAGTTTTATGTTTAGACATCTGCCCTAAAACTACCTGAAGATTTTCTTCCTCTTTTTCAATTTCCTGCTTTATAAGTGCAAGTTGAGTTTTTTTTTCACTAATCTGGACATTCAGTTCTCCTTTCTGAATACTGAGTTCTTCCAGAAGAGATTTTACTTCCTGTGTTAAAAAAAAAAAAAGTCATCTCCTCCTGTGATTATAAATGGAAATTACTTTGAAATTAGTTCTGTTATTAATTATGTCATTTCATAGAAATTCTAATTTGGAAACAAACTCAGTTTTGCCATTTGTGTCAAGAACTGTACTATATTCTGCACTAAAATCTCTATAGAACAGAAGTAAGAAAGTAACATATTATCTTCATGTAAAAGTATATGCAGCATTACTATGTGCAAAGCAGTGAGTTGCAGACAGAAAAGGCTGATTGAGACAAGGTTCCAGCTACTGAGGGGCTTAGAACCTCATGGAGAGGTAAGGCAGGGAAAGTAAACACAACAGGGTTAAGATGCCCCAGGAAATGTGTACACGGGTATTACTAAACTCAGAAGAAAGAGAAACTCCTTCTTCTAGGGGAAAGGAAAAAGTCAGGGACATCTTAGGAGGGAGTGGCATGAGCTGGGCCATGAGAAATGGGTGGGATCTGGCTAGAGATAGGAGAGAAAAGGAATTCTTGGAGACAAAGTGGTATGAGAAAGGCAAAGAGGCAGGAGAACCTTGACCATATCCAGAGGTCAAGGCGGGGAAATAACATTTGACAGCCCCAGCATGGATATATAACACAATACCAAACTAATGTTATAGAGGCAAGGCTTCAGGAATCTATACTTTCATTTCTCAGAACCATGAAAATGCCTCAAAGAAAATCTATAGCATTGTCCTAGGACTCTAAAGAAAACCTACTGAAAGGCATACCCTGATGTGACTACACTTCTCGGTTACTTCAGTTTCTCCCAGTCTCAAAGCTTCCTGAAGGTCAGCTTTTGCCTGGACCATGCTTCCATGGAGTAGATGCAGCTCCTCCTTTTTATGCCCTAACTGCCTGTCCAAGACAATTATCTCCTGCTGCTGACTTGTCACCTGTATTAAAGAAAAAAACAAGAGTGTAAAGTTTGACAGAGGCCACACAGCTTTCAGTGCTAACTTGGAGATGTTTAGTCCAGCTAAATGTTGTGGGGGAAAATCAGGAGCTAATAATATTGGAGTTTGCAAAATCAGGAAGGCCAACCTGGAGAAGGCATGAAATGCCTGATAAAGACCTTGAGCTCACATGCTTAAAATCACTCAAATCACAGCAAAGAAAAATAGGATAATAATGCTTATACTCAAGGTTACGGGTTTCAAAGAACTTTCCCATCTGTGCCTTATTCCATTTGACAACCTAGATGATAGAAGCTAGGCAGAGTTTAAAATTTTACTAATTTTTAAAATTTGAAATTACTTACAATTTTAAGGGCAATATATATTTGTTTACAAAAAAAGAAGGTAATGCAGACATGCAAAAGACAAAACTAGAATGTACCCAGAATCTCCCCTTATCAGATGGCAATTTTTGTACTTTTGTATTGACTAAAAATACAAGTAAACACATTGTATTTTGTTAAACACATTTAACAAAAATGATCTCATAGAGTATACCATGTTTTGAGGCTAACTTCTTTTACTTAACAATATATTGAGCAGGGATTCAAAGTTAAACACTTAACCACCATGATATGCAGCCTAATTTATTCTTTATAGTTTATTTTCTATTTCCCAATCTTTTCTGTATCACTTTCATAGTAATAAAACATGTGCAAGTTTAATGCAGTTTGAATTGTTTTCTTAAGGCATCTGTTGCCATACCTGGCTTTTCAGCTTTTCCAGCTCAGCTCTCTTGGCCTGAAGGAGGGTCTCAGATTCTTTAAGCACCTGCAGGTGGTGATCCTCACTCTGTTCTGCCGTCTTGATATCTTTTTGCAGTTTCTGAAGCCTACAAAACACCAGCAGCACTAGAGCAGATCCTAATGGAGACTGACCCCCAGAGCTGTCTTGCAGCACAAGCCCCTTGCAGCCCTACCAAAGCCTTACTTACTCTTCCATCAGTTTTTTCTTCTTTTTGTTTAAACACTGGAAGTCTGAGTCTTTTGCTGCCACCACTTTGTTTATTTCTTTCAAGATTTCTTCTTGCTTGATTCTGTGTTGCTCCAAATCCTTTGCATCAGCCTGGAGCAATCTAAAACACATTCCTATATTTCCCCCAAGGCCCTTAGATGAACATGTATTTTATCATAAACCAATAATGTCCTTTCAGATGAAAACTTTTCATTCATCTCATTGTATACATCAATGGCTTAGGGATTTCACCTACCTTAGCTGCTGATCAGCTTTAACAAGGTTAATAGCAGTTTCCCGAGCTTTCTTTTCTAACTCCTCAGCATCTGACTCAGTTTGCAGTAAACCTCTCTTGGCATCAGCAAACTTTTCAACAGCATTTTTTGTCTAGAAAAGAAACAGTCATTAATAGCAATTCAGTTACAACACTTACTTGCAGCAATTGGCTGTATAAACTGATATAACTCCTTTGGAAAACAACCAGACAATATAGAAAGGCATAAAAATGTCCATTAACTTTGACTTTCCACTTATCAGAAAATAATTCAGAAGCAAAGAAGTACAATATGAAAATGCTCATTGTATTCTGAGATAATATAAAACTTGACAAATAATAAGATTAAATAATAATGCATTAACACAGTGAATATTGTGTAGTGTTTAAAATGGTAAGAGGCTGGATGCAGTGGCTCTTATCTGTAATCCTAGCATTTTGGGAGGCCAAGGCAGGAGGATAGTCTGAATCCAGGAATTTGAGACCAGCCTGGGCAAAAGCAAGGCTTTGTCTCTAGAAAAATTAAAAATGATAGCCCTGGTGACACCTGTAGTCCCAGCTACATGGGAGGCTAAGGCAGGAGTCTGACACTGAAGTGAGCTACAATGATGCCACTGCATTCTAGCTTGGGTGACAAAGTGGGTCCCTGTCTCAAAAATAAAAATAAAATGGTAAGAAGGCAATTCTTTAACCATGGAATAAAGTTAATGACGTTATGTTGAAAAAATAAATTTAAAATGGTATAAGCACTATGAGAGCAACTATGTAAAACTCTGTCAATACAGAAAGGCTAAGCAAAAATCAGCATAGTCTTTTGAAGGTAGTGGGACTGTAGATGATCTTTTTATTTCGAATTAATTCCTAATGTTATTTTTTAAGTATAAAATCATCTATTTGATTAAGTGGCAATGAAGTGATATCACCAAAGTTGTATCTACTTAGAGATTCTTGCTATACTCTAGATATTATCAAAAATTTATTAATCTAATGATGATTTAATTATGGTTAAGAAACATAAATCTTCCCATATAAGATTTGATAAAAAACACTTTTTTTTATCAGCTTGGTTTCTTGTTCTGTCTAACATAAAAGGCTTAAAACAATGTCATCAAAAGTTCCAAAAATAGTTTGGTTTGCACTTGTTTGAGCAGTGACTCACTTTCAGCCAAAAAAACAAGTTCTGCCTGTGCTCTGTACTAAAGTCAGGAGTCTGTATGTTAACTATCCCATGTGAATGTAAAAGACTTGGCAAGCTCTTAAAGACCTAGCTATTTCACCTTACTTCTTTCTATTTCAGATAGCTGGTTTCTGTCAGTTTATCAGTCAAGCATTAGACAAAACTCATTACACTCTCCAGAAGGCCTTGTTTCTGAGTAGTTTTTTGTCTCCTTCTATATGAGGTATTAACATGTCTAGCACATTCCTTACACAAAAGGCAACTACTTCCTCTCTCCTATTCTTTCGTACCAAGCTGCTTCCCCTAGTCATTCTGGGAGGATGAAGGGAAAAGAGCTTATCAGACTTGGTTCACTTATGACCTCTCCCTACTACGAGTGTCATTAATTTTCTTTTATATACCAATGATAATTTTTTCTCTAGTTCTACTCCCACTTATTTTCTCTTACAGTAATCTAACATGCTACAACAGAAAGAACTGCTCATCTGAATTTCATTAATCATTCATTTCAGTGCTCAGGTAATACATTTCTATTAATTTAAACAAATTCACATTGAAATAACAATATAAAAATAACAGTTCCTGAGATGTTCCATGTGGATAAGGAAATTTTCCATCACGGAATTCTCATCTAATTAAAAAAAGCTCTTGGTGAGGCAGAACTTCAGTTGTGTGACTGATCTAGTTGGAGCTTCTGAGCTAATACCATCTTACCAGGTTGCTAGGAAGGCTAAATGAAGTGGTATTTATAAAATGGCTGATGTGTCCATAGCAGGGAGGGGCTCCACAAAAGCTTCTTTTCCTCAACTTCCCTCTGGCTTGTGTAATGATACAAAAAAAAATTTTTTTTTTTTTGAGACAGAGTCTCACTATGCCACCCTGGGTAGAGTGCAGTGACATCACAGCTCACAGCAACCTCAAACTCTTGGGCTTAAGCGAGTCTCTTTTCTTAGCCTCCCACGTAGCTGACACTACAGGTGCCCGCCACAATGCCTGGCTCTTTTTTGTTGTTGTAGTTGTCATTGTTGTTTAGCGGCCCAGGCCAGGTTCAAACCCGTCAGCATTATTGTATATGGCCGAAGCTATAACCACTGTGCTATGGGTGCCGAGCCGATACAAAAAATTTATATCATTATCAAATTGGAGAATAAATACTTGTGAGGTCCACTGTAGCTTAATAAGAATATAAAAAGATTGACCTACTAATCAGGAACCAAAAAATAAAAAAAAATGATACACACAGGATAATAAAGTGGAGTAGCTGTGAACTAATGCTTCAGGAGTTTTAAATATGTTGTTTCATTTAATTCACACTGAATAGCCTACATATTCTTAGCCTGAATTTAAAGATGAGGAAAGCAAAGGTCAGGGACTTAAGTGACTTGCTTGAATTCTCACAAGTCACTGAAGAGTCTGTCACTAGCAGAATCCACCTGTTAGACAACTGTGCTCTTCTCATTTGTTCTTTTTTTTTGAGAGAGAGTCTCATTATGTCACCCTCGGTAGAATGCTGTGACATCACAGCTCACATCAACCTCTTGGGCTTAAGCCAGTTGTTCTCAACCTTCCTAATGTTGCAATGTATTTTCATTGTTAAAAAAGGGTTGCAACCCACAAGTTGAGAATCGCTGGCTTAACCAATTCTCTTGCCTCAGCCTCCCAAGTAACTGGGACTACAGATGCCTGCCACAACACCCAGCTAGTTTTTTTTGGTTGTTGCAGTTGTTGTTGTTTAGCAGGCCTGGGCCGGGTTTGAACCTGCTGCCTTGGTATATGTGGCCGGCAACCTAACCACAGAGCTATGGGCACTGAGCCATATGTGTTATCTTTCTAATCCTTCAGGTAGACAGTAAACTGTCTCACTCACCCCAAACCACACCAGCACATACCTTCTCTTTTGTGCATGCAAGTTCACTCTCAGCCTCTGCCAGCAGTCGGTCAGCTTCCCTAAGTTCTGAGCGACGTTTCAGAAGGGTCTTCTCAATGCACTCAATTTCATCAACAATATCACCATGGTGTTTGAGTGATTTTTCTATTTCTAGTTCAGTCACAAGATTGTCAATATTTCCATCAATGAAGTCCCTAAAAAATATATACATATATTTAAAGATTTTGGCCAGGTGTGGTGGCTCATGCCTGTAATCCTAGCACTCTGGGAGGCTGAAGTGGGCCTCAGGAATTCAAGACCCGCCTGAGCCAGTGTGAGACCTCCTTTCTAAAAAAATAGCTGGGTGTTGTGGCAAGTGCCTGTAGTCCCAGCTACTAGGGAGGCCGAAGCAAGAAAATCACTTAAGTCCAAGAGTTTAAGGTTGCTGTCAGCTGTGATGTCACATCACTCTACCAACAGTGACAAAGTGAGACTGTGTCTCAAAAAAAAAAAAAATTTAAATGTAGACAATATAGACACTTGTAGCCTAACTGCTAAGAAGATGCATAATGATTTTCTAATTTTATATGAGCAAAGACAAGAAAGGCAGCTATACTGGATTACGCTCAAGGCTTATATTTTCATTAAACATGGAATACTAATCGCAATAAATGCATAATACATAAAATGTATGATGGAGAGTTTTTTGTTTTTTGTTTTTTTTGGCAGTTTTTGGCCAGGGCTAGGTTTGAATTTGCTACCTCTGGTATATGGGGCCAGTGCCCTACTCCTTTGAGCTGCAGGTGCTGCCCAAGTTTTTTTTTTCTCCTTTTGTAGAGATACCAGGCTGGAGAGAGCTGTAGCCCAATCATAGCTCCTCAAATTTCTAGGTTCAAGGGATACTCCTGCCTCAGCCTCCTGAGTAGCTGGGACTATAGCTGCATGCCACCACTCTCAGCTAATTTTTTCTTTTGTGTGTGTGTTTGTTTTGTTTTGCTTTTTTGGTCTGGCTACATTGCCCAGGCTGGTCTCAAACTTTTGTCCTCATGCATTTCCCAAAGGATTATAGCTATGAGCCACTACACCCAGCCTGTCTTTTTAAATATAACAACAAAGATCAGTGTGTTGTCAGTACCTGCCTAAGAAAATGTTGATACTTTTATTCTTCTGAAGTATAAACATAAAACAAGCCACTCCCACAATAATCATCCATTCCCTCAAAACTATCCTTCCAGGCCCAATTCACAGGCTTCCCAATTAGAAGTCTACCCAATTTTGTAATTTATTCCATTTTGCTAGAGTAAAATTATGGTGACAACTTTTGATGAATCAAAAAGCATGACACATAATTCAATATCTTTAGGCTAACAAGATAAATTTATATGAAATGGGACTATGTATGACTGCAGGGGAGAAAAATGTAAAAATAAATTTAACATATTAACAGATTCTTTAAATAAAGGCACACAGATGACTTTTTACTTTCTTCTTCAGACATTTTTGTGTCATCCAAATTTCCTAGAATAATCATTTATAACTAGGAAAAGAAGTAACTATCCTACTGTCCTACCATCTCCCTCAAAAACTCTCTGAACAACCCTCCAACATATATGTCCCCCAAGATAATAGGTATAACAATCCCCCCAACTCTCAAACACCCAGTTCCAACCTTCTAGGTGTCGCCTTTGTCTTCCCCTATGGGTATATTTGCCAGTCAAATGTCTGTTCCTAGATGGCAGGGACCATGTCTTGCTTACCTCCATGTCCTCCATAGCCCTCTCTCCCCCCTCAGGGCCCTGGGCAAGTCTGATAAAAACCAGAGAAATGTCCTAATTCATGGATTACTGCAAAAGATAGGCTTTTACACAACTGACCCAATAAAGAGATGTTGCATTCATTAACTGACCCTATAGCATTTCAGAGACATGATAGCACAAACAAAGGTGCTGGGTCAGCAGAAAATGTGGTCCTTGGGAAACCACAGGAAAGTAAGTAAGCCGGACTAAATACTATGTGTGGGCAAGAAGGAGAAAAAAGATAGGCAGGGTTTAAATTGTGGAGGGTGGTGTACATTCCGATAGGACTGAGAATTGCCTGGGAGAGTGGCATAGTCAGATTTATACTGTGTCAAGGACAGAGTAAAGAGAGACCAGTAGGGAAGCCATTACAGTGGCTAGGATGAGATGGTTACAAGCCAGAGCAGTAGAGATGACAGAAAGGGACTAAAGAGTTCCTCAGATATAGATTCAGCAGGACTTGGAGATCAACTGGATACCTGGGGGCATGAGGGAAAGGGAGGAAGTGAGAACCCCTGTCATGTTTTTAGCTAGAATTACTAGATAGGAAGAATGATTCTGCCATTCCCCAAGAGGAACTACTAAAAGAGTTGATGTGGATTATTGGCCAAGAGAACTTAGATCTGCACTGTCCAAGATGATACTTACCATGTGGCTATTACATTGATTAAAATTAAATTAACGAAACTGTGCTTTAGTTCTATTAGCCACATTTCAAGTGCTCCATAGTCACATATGGCTAGTGGCTACTGTTTTGGACCCTATAGATCTAGAACATTTTCAAGATCATGGAAAGTTCCATTAGACAATGTTGATTTAGGTTATCTTTTTTTTTTTGGTCAGGGCCAGATTTGAACCCGCCATATATGGGGCCCACACCCCACTCCTTTAAGCCACAGGCACCGCCCCAGATTTACGTTATCTTAATGAATCTCATATTCATCTGAAATATAAAAATACAATGTCTACTAATAATTACTTTTGCTGTTGACGTTTCTGGATAGCTTGATGTAATTCTTCTACTTCATGCTCCAAGTCTTTCTTTTCTTGCAAAAGACCATCAATATTATGTTGCAGTTCTTCCATTTCCTTCTCAGACTGCTGCTTGGATGCTCTTCTCCACCGCTCCAAGTCTTTCTTTTCTTGCAAAAGACCATCGATGTTATGTTGCAGTTCTTCCATTTCTTTCTCAGACTGCTGCTTAGATGCTCTTCTCCACTGTTCCAAGTCTTTCTTTTCTTGCAAAAGACTATCAGTATTATGTTGCAGTTCTTCCATTTCTTTCTCAGACTGCTGCCTGGATGCTCTTTTCCACCGCTCTTCCCATCTCTTTGATTTTAAATGCTGCATTATGTCTTCTAATCTAGAAACTTCATTCTCCTGAACAAAGAAAAAAATTCAGAATTTCAAACCACACAGGATGCTTCCCCTCTTTCCTGGCAAAAGCTAAAATTGGTTGGCTAGGCATGATGGTTCATACCTGTAATCCTAGCACTCTGGGAAGCCAAGACCAGTGGATCACTTGAGCTCAGGAGATTGAGACCAGCCTGAGCAAGAAAGAGACCCCATCTCTAAAAATAGCCATGTGTTATGGCAGGTACCTGAATTCCCAGGATAGCCTGAGCCCAAGAGTTGGAGGTTGCTGTGAGCTATGAAGATGCCATGGTACCCTACCAAGAGCAACAAAGTGAGATTGTGTCTTTTTTTTTTTTTTTTTTTTTTTTGAGACAGAGTCTCAAGCTATCACCCTGAGTAGAGTGCTGTGGCATCACAGCTCACAGCAACCTCCAACTACTGGGCTTAAACAATTCTCCTGCCTCTGCCTCCCAAGTATCTGGGACTACAGGTGCCCACCACAACGCCCAGTTATTTTTTGGTTACAGCCATCATTGTTGTTTGGCGGGCTCGGGCTGGATTTGAACCTGCCAGCTCAGGTGTACGTGGCTGGCACCTTAGCCACTTAAGCCATAGGCCCTGAGCCGAGATTGTGTCTTAAAAAAAAAAAATTAACTGTGGTTAAAGTGGTATCTATGATGTGGAAAATGGTAGAGTCTAAGACTTAGATATGAAAAAAAAATTAAGTCAGGCAATTTTTTCAATGTCATAGATGAAGTTAATGGACTAATACAATTTTTAATGTTTCCATTAGTCCAACTATGATTAAGAAACATGCTCTAAGATCCTGTGGATAATATTTGTCTCCAAAGAGTTCAACATCTAGCATCAGAGACAGTCACAAGTTTCTCCCTCCTCTGGACACATGGGAGGGGAGTTGTCTGAGAAGGGTGCATAGAGGAACAGGTGTTCTGCCTGGGTTTTAAAGAATGAATGACCTGTAGAAATAACATGTGAACACTTGGGACACTATAAGAACAGTTGGGTACCTGGGGAGAGTAAAACAACTACTGTAAGAGATTATCTATAAATGCTAAACAGTTAGAAGTGCCACAAATTATAACATACATTGGAAAACTGCAAGAGAATGTGAGTGACGGCCATTGTTAACCACTTAAATGCACATAGACCCTCTGAATCTCGTCTGACCTGTTAAAATGGGACTGGTGACTTGATACCTAGGTGCCTTAGTCCTTTATCTTCCTCTCAATCTGCTTTCTTTTGGGGGGGGGGGAAAGCCTCTAGCTGTGCTGAGTTTGAAAGAGGAGCTTGGAATGTATTTTATTTTTTTAGAACCAAAAAGTTAGAAATTAATCTAGTGATTAGGAAATAATGATTTCTTAGAATCAAGAATAAAAAAAGAGTATGAAATTGGGGTGGTGCCTGTGGCTTAGTAGGTAGGGCACTGGCCCCATATACCAAGGGTGGCGGGTTCAAACCTGGCCCTGCTGCAACAACAACAAAAATAGCCGGGTGTTGTGGTGGACACCTGTAGTCTCACCTACCCGGGAGGCTGAGGCAAGAGAATTGCCTAAGCCCAGGAGTTGGAGGTTGCTGTGAGCTGTGTGATGTCCCAGCACTCTACTGGGGGTGATAAAGTGATACTCTGTCACTACAAAAAAAAAAAAAAAAGTGAAAAAGTGAAAAAAAAGTGAGAATTTACAAATACTCAGCTATACAAATATAGACATGTTGAGTAGTCATTAAAATACTTCTAAAAAACATTTGTAAAACTACGGGGAAATGGGAAAAACAGAATACAACATGAACTATGAAAATAATAATCATTAAATCCTACCAACCAGAGATAATCCCCACCAAAACCTTGCTATATGCTGTTTATACATGTGTGCATATACATGCACATATGTGTGTACACACATACATGTACATGTACAAGCACAGGCATTAGTGTGTAAATATATCTGTACATATACATTAATATAGCACTTATCAAGAGAAATATATGTAAACTTTATAAAAATGGTTAATTTTGGAACTGAAAGGATTTCTGTTATAACGTGGTTAAACCAGGTTTATGAACTAACTTCTGCTCACAGTATTTTTTTTTCCTGGCTATGTTGCCCAGGCTGGCCTCAGATGCCTGGGCTCAAGTGATCTTCCTGCCTTAGCTTCCCCAGTAGCTGGGTACACACTACTACTTCAATAAGAGAATGTTTGCACAGTTCTAAACATTTATCTTTCAAACATACTTTTGTGATATAACCCAGTCATAAACAGACCATCTCATTAAGTATATGATCTTATTGGTCACCCATGAAAGCACTGTGGACAAGAAATTACATGTCTTTCCACTTACTAAGTTATGATGTTCTGGGACGTTGCAATGCAGCACACCCAAAGGAATGAGTGGGACAGAAAAGTTGGGGGGTGGAGGCCCGTATATTATGGGGACCCCAGCAGGGGGTGGGCCATAAACAACAGTGCCAGGGGTGAAAGGTTGGCTATTGTTGGGCAAGGGAGGAGGCGGTGCATAGAGGGCCATGCCCTGCGGTACAGGAGAACCATCAGGAAGCACGGTGTATATCATGTATCCAGGGGGAGGCACGAACGGGGTTTCCTCTTGGTCATCTGGATCACTCTCTTCTTGGCTACCTCCTCCACTGTCTGCATCTTCAAAGAAATAAATAGAAGAGAGTTTTACCACCATGGTTTACTAGGTAAGTAAGTTTATTGGAAAATAGTAGCAGTTAAGCCAAGATACTGGTGATCTAAGGAAGGTCAAACATAGTTTTGGAAAGTAGATCAACATGGTTTCAAAGTATCTTCAGGGGCTGATACTTCAGTTTCCTTATGTCTACCTGTTGGTTCCTTTGTTATTAACTTATTCATTCATTTATTCAGCAGCCCACTTCACATTGCATAAAAGGCCAACAGAGATGTGCTGTGTGTAAGATCTCATGGCACCTAGTGATTGTTACTACTATGACATAAAACACTCTCTAATGTGATGACTGACTTACTTATCTCTTCCAAAAATGGAAATTATGTTTGTTGATCACTAAGAATCTAGCACACAGGAGGCACTCAATAAATAGTTCCAGAATGAACAGATCCTTAGAATATTCCCATTTTAAAGATTAACAATTTCAGAACTGCTACATAATTTGCAGATCACATAGTTACTATAAAAGAGGAGGGATTTACCCAGATCTGATTTTTTACCCCTGGAGCTAATGCCATGATGCAAGAGTAAAGGCAATATGCTTCAGTAAAGGCAAAAAAGCTGCTCAGTCAGCCTGGGTGAAGCAGAGTGGAAGAAGGCTCTGGAAAGGAATGATGTTTGAGGACCTGGGTCTTATTGAAGGATGAGGAATCAGTTTGGGAGAGGAAAGAGAAAGGACATTCCAGACACGGGATTTAAAACATGGGAGGAATGGAACATAATGTGAGTATCTTAAGTAGTCAGGTATGATGTGGGAGAGTGATGGGAGGTGAGACAAGATGGGAGGTTGGTGGAGAGCAGACCATAGAGGGCCTCATAGACCAAGCTGTGGAGTTTGGACTACATCTTAGGAATTGCAGGGAACCAATAAAAAGTTAATTAAGCATACAAGAGAAATGAAACTTCTCCACATGATTTGACTTACCTCTGTTTGGAGATGACTTATGTAACCCACTCCTGATGGGAGAATAAACCCAGTATCCTGAGGCAGGTGGAGGTCCACTGCCTTCCCTCCCATCTTGCTGCCCAGGACATGATTTTCTAATGGGAGTCGAGGCTGTGTACTTTAAGCCAACTCCAGAGTCCTTGGTGGCCTGGGAACTGTGGCTGGAAACCTAAAATAAATGACAGCAGAGCACACAAATGGAAAGGCTGATTTTGAGAAATGTCAAAGCAGAGATGTAGCAAAGTTGAGAAACAATTTGGTTTCTTTTCATTATCATAATTCTCATTTTTTAGACAGAAGTGAGAAGTGATTACTCAGCCACACAGACTGTAGTGCCACATACATGCTTCAGTTTATTTATGTCTCTCTGGACTTGGATCATCATGGCAATGTCTGGGAGGCTGAGAAAAGAGAAAGGCTGCATGTGTGTAATGGCTGGGGTCACATCAGAATGGTCTGTGAAAGTGAAGTGCTCAGAATGTGGTAAAAATAACCAAACCAATGTCTATCCTTCAGAAATTATTTTTAAAAATCCATCTCTTTTCTTTTGGTACAATTTTCTAGAAGTAACAAGTCCTCAACCACACTGAAATGTTATCTGACCATATGACTGAGTTAATTTTATGCGGCAACTTCCCAAGAGAAAGGAACAAGAACAAGTTCCCCATAAGTTATCAGACCCCTGGGTATCAGCCTCTCTTCTCATCTTTCCTGGTGGTTTCTTTTCTTTTACCTTTGTCTAGATGGTCCAGCAACTGAGGCAAAGGAAACCTGCAAACATTAAGGGGATTCTGGGGATATCAGTCTTCTGCTATCCGGGAGCTTGGCATGGCTTTAAAGCTCTATTCTACTCCTCTCCCTCTCCTTCCGAGTCTATAGGTCTAGCCTCCAAATACTCACCCAGCTCATGGTTGCTCTAACTCACTCTGCTTGCACTTCCAGCCTTAGTCAGTCCAAGGCTTCTGGGAGGAGGATCTCAGATTCTGCTCTTCAGGATTCTGGTTAAGTCTATCAGTCCTGAGATCCTAGTGTGTCTAAGCCATTTCTCTCTGACTGTTGCTGTCAGCTGATGTGGGTAGGATGGCATCCAACCCCTGTGCTTTGGATGAATACAGCCCTTTTCATCTTCCCATACCCAGGCACCAAGCCCTGACCATTTTGTCTTTTTAACATACCTTCTATATTTCCTTTTCCAGACTCACTAATCTAGCTGTCTCCTTCTATTCTTCACTTGAATCAGTTCAAACAAACCCACAGAAAGCTTACTGCCACAAGTCTAGCCTACATACTTAGCCAGAATATTCTTCCTAAGGTGTATCTCTGGCCATGTTAGCAAACAAATCATTTCCCATGGCCTACATTATTAAATGGAAGGGATTTTAAGGCCCTTTACCAAAAAAAGCATGACCCCAATCTACTTTTCCAACTTCATCCTTCCCTGTTATCATCAAACCTCCAGCCCCACAAAGCTATTTATCATGGCTAAGCCAATTCACTTCTTCCACACAAGCTCTTTCCTCCCTTCTAAAAGCCCATCTCTCTCTCATTGGTGGCTAAGTGCTAACTGTACAACCCTGCCTGTGAAGGCTTCCCTCCTGAACTTCCCCAGGAGATAATCCTTAACATTTCTGGCAACTACAACACAAAGGTCAAGTCTCTTGTCACATGCATATCACTATTCTGTAATCATACTGACAGGGCCCATGAGCTCTCAGAGAGCAAGGGTTGTATCACTTACTACGGTACCCCACTACTGCCTAGTATTTGGCCTAGACTTCAGTATGCACTGAATGAATGTTTGTTAAAAGGAAATGAAATCCAGGTGCCTATTTTCCTGTCTGAGTCTCTGCACAATTCTATACCCAGTTTCAACAGGCTCTCTGAGCTCAAGTTCCCTTTTTCCCTTACAGCATCTTCATTCCAAGGACCCCACAACAGACAATTGGACATGAATAGACAATTGCCATCTTTCCAGGGAAGACCCTATTTTCATCTTAAACATTAAAAACACCAAAGAACCTCAATATACAGTTTAGCATAGAAATGTTATTCTTGGCAGCTGTTCACAAATTTGAGGAAGGGGACAATGCCATACTTTAAGAGAATTCAGTAAACACTCCCAACATCACAGAATTCCTACTTTTGATGATGGTGGTGGTGGTGGCATAAAGTACCAATAGCCTCGTCTTTTGAAAGGATCGGCCATACTGCTGATATAATCATTTTGATAAGAAACTTCACGACGAAGTTCGGCAATTTCTTCTAAAATGTTTTCAAAGCCTCCTTTGTTGTCTGTAAAAGAAAGCCATTTTATGAAGTTGGGATGAAATCATTTACTTCCTTTCTCTCTCAAAATGCAAAAGAGATTCCATGACAGCCAATAAATGTTATTAGTTTTGGCTTGGCGCTAGCCACACACACCTGAGCTGGCAGGTTTGAATCCAGCCTGGGCCCACCAAACAACGACGGCTGCAACCAAAAAATAGCCAGGTATTGTGGCAGGCTACTTGGAATGACAGAGTGAGACTCTGTCTCAAAAAAAAAAAAAAATTTATCAGTTTCTCAAAGCTGACTTTTGTCTGCCTGTTGGTGATTAGCTTTTGCTAATACTAAGAGAATAGCACATCCCTATAGTCAAAAATACAAACAGATTTGTAAACATTATTTCTTTTGAAATCACAAATAAAAACCTCTTATTTCTTTGTAATCAAGTCCCTCAATATTACATTTATAAGAAATGTTTTAAAATTCTTTGATATTACTTATTAAAGTTAATTACCATAGCTCTCTAAATCAAGCATGGTATTTATTTATTTATTTTGCAGTTTTTGGCCAGGGCTGGGTTTGAACCTACCACCTCCGGTATATGGGGCCAGCGCCCTACTCCTTTGAGCCACAGGCAATGCCTAAGCATGGTATTTATTTGCAACAGGTGAACACATTTTCCAAAGGCAAAGAACAAACAAGATGATTTGATTTTAGAACTACAAAACCATTGCAAAAGGCCTGGCGAAGTAGCTCACACCTGTAATCCTAGCACTCTGGCAGGCCAAGGTGGGTGGACTGCCTCAGCTCACAAGTTCAAGACCAGCCTGAGCCAGAGCAAGACCTCCATCTCTAAAATAAAAATAGCTGGGAATTGTGGCAGGTGCCTATAGTCCCAGCTACTCCGGAGGCTGAGGCAAGAGAATTGCTTGAGTCCAAGAGTCTGAGGTTGCTGTGAGCTATGATGCCATAGCACTCTACTGGGGGTGATAAAGTGAGACTCTGTCTTGAAAAAAAAAATTGCAAAAATCAAAGCCCTATACTATACTTTACCAGCCCCAATGAAGTCTAGTACATTCCGCAGCCTTGCAATCTCTGTCCTTTGTCGCTCCATTGTCTCATTCAGTTTCTCGAACTCTAGCACCTGTGAGTTTACTCCTCCAGTAGCTGCATCTGCTTTCTCCATCTCAGTTCGAACCTATTAAAATATCACATACACAAAGTTGCCAATGAATTAATTCATTCCTAGATGTGTTTATCCTTCAAAATTGATTATAACTCTATAGTTTTTCTTTATACTTTACTAGTGAGAAAACCACATTACTCCTTTACTGCACTCTACCTGACACATTGTAGAGGATAAAGTACTGATTATTGACTGCACTGTGCAGTTCTTTGAGCAATCACCTATAGTAATTTAGTCCCTCAGGAAATGATAAGAACCCAGTAAGGAGAAGGTCTCAGGGTACCAACAATGACCTGCTCTTCCTTCTTCCTGAGGAGATTCTGCAGGAGTTCAATCTCAGCTTCTGCTCGAGTCAGATCCCTGGCCGCTTGTGCTGCCTTTCTGCTGAACCTCTCTGCTTCCTGCAACTCCTGCTGGGACAGAAGTATGAGAAGTTGACACTTCTATCATAGCTTGTCTTCTTCATATTTTTCTTCCTCTCAGATTGACTCTTCTGCTCTTATCACATTGCCTGCCTGGCTGTCCATTCCCATGTGGTACCCAGGAGGCCAAGTGAACAAGGGGGTGCTTCAGAAAGAACAAGGGCTATTTTTTCTTTCCGCTCTATAGACTTCTATGATCAATGTCTCTCGGGGCTCTCATTATTAGATTTTTTTTTTTCTCCTATGATCTACTATCTTCATCTTATCACCATTTGGATCCTATAAAGCACCATAACAGACATTATCTGTCAGGAGTCATAACAGTCCTGTGAGGTAACATATTTTCATATGACTATACAAGATTAAAAATTTGAGGCTTGTATGACAAGCCTTCAAAGCCCTCATCCAGGTATGTGTTGACAGCAACTCCTTATCCCTACACTACAAGGTAGGGATAGTATATTTCACTTTTAGGACTCATTGAGCACAGGGCCCATGGCATCACAAAATAAATTCTTAGGAGTTGCAATGGCATTAAAAAAAGCAGACAATTTTTGGCTTGGCGCCTGTGGCACAGTGGTTACAGCACCAGCCACATGTACCGAGGTTGGTGGGTTTGAACCTGGCCCGGGCCAGCTAAACAACAATGACAAATGCAACAAAAAAATAGTTGGGCGTTGTGGTAGGCACATGTACTCCCAGCTACTAGGGAGGCTGAGGCAAGAGAATATCCTAAGCCCAAAAGTTTTGAGGTTGCTGTGAGCTGTGACATCACGGCATTCTACCGAGGACAACAAAGTAAGACTCTGTCTCAAAAAAAAAAAGAAGAAAGAAAACCAGACAATTTTACAATGGTGCATAAGGTAACTAAAGTCTGCAACAAGAGATAAATAATACAAGATGCTATGTTTTTTGGCAGCAGCACTGGTAGAAACTTGTTCTATACAAATGGACTTACCTCTGCTCGCTCCTGGTTAATTTTCAAAACAGTTCCATGAAGCGACTTAAGTTGGTCTTTGGCAATGGTGAGCTCAGCTGTGGCTAGCTTATCAGAGTTGGCCACAGCTTTCTTTAGTTTCTTTAATTCTTTATCTAAACCAAAAAATTGCTCCTGAGATTTGGCATCTTCAAGTTGCTTCTAAAATAAAGGAAACAAAAATTAACATATGAATCATTTGGTAGCAATGAATTAAGATTTTTTTTTTTAAGACAGAGTCTCACTCTGACAACCTTAGTAGTACAGTCCCATGGCATCATCTTAGCTCACAGCAACCTCAAACTCTTGGACTAAAGTGATCCTTTTGCCTCAGCCTCCTGAGTAGCTGGGACTACAGGCACTCACCACAATGCCTGGTTAGTTTTTTCTATTTTCAGTAGAGACAGGGTCCCACTCTTGCTTGGGCTGGAATGAATTAAGATTTAAGTTGCAAAAGGGCAGGGCTCTGTTCACTGCTACACACACCATGCCTAGAACAATATCTGATACATAGAAGATGCTCCATAAATATCCACTGAACAAATTAAAAAACCTCAACATTAAGATAAATTTAGAATCAGTCTTTCTAGGCTAGAATCTTAGTGCTCGTAACTTCATTCATTCATTGGAAAAACCTTTCTTGGCACCATCACTAAGAAATGGATGGAACAGCCTTTGAAATTGCTAAATCCAGCTCTGGAACATGGTGGTGAAGAAAGAACTTGGTATCTCTGAGGAACTGAAAGAAAAGAGCGCATACTGAGAAAAAGAGACATCTCACCAGAGCCAATCATGCAGGGCTTCATATGCTTAAGAATTTTGGTTTTTATCCTAACAATAAGGGAAGCTGGCTACTGTGTGGAACATAGTCATGAGAGGAAGTAGCAGACCTGTCAGGCAGCTACATCAGTTGTCAGAAGAGATAATAGTTAGATGAGGGTGGTGGCATCAGAGAAGTAAAAAGAACATATATTCCAAGCATATTTTTGAGGTGGACTCAATAGGGCTTGGGAATTGATGGCTTTTCATCGAAAGATGAAATAAAATATTCACTAAGGCTGGGGAAAAGTGTGAGGAGTGGAGAAGGTATGAAACAGTGGTGCAAGAGAGTGAGTTTGCCCGAGTAAAGGGTCATGTTTCCCATTTGAGGCTGGCAACTATCAGTTTTTTTTTTCATTCTTTTTTTTTTTTTTTTGCAACTATCAGTTTTTAATGGCACCTATACTATACTATAGGGATGATTCTTCTCTTCAAGTATTCCTGCCATGGATGCAGGCCCAAAGAACACAGAGAGCTTCAGTTTTGCCAGGGAAAATAAAATAGGAGAATAGGGCAAGAGATTTGAAGGTATTTGCAAAAAATGGCTTAGTGGTAAAACACAGAATTTAAAGTGGACAAGGAAGCAAGTAAAGATAGGAAGGACTTAACAGATAGAAAGGTGGGGCTAACGAATCAGCTCAATAAGACTGAAAAACTGTAGTATAGGGGTGTGACAAAAGGTCATGATCAGAGTAGGAAACTTCAGTTTGTGATTTCAGAGGTGGTAGATGCAATTTCTGAATTTGACAGTCTAAGATATGACAATGAGAGTCGATGGCTGAGGTGGGATGAAGAAAAGCCGTCACAAAGGGGCCCAGGTATTAGAAAGGAAATGAGGAGTTTAAAAATAATTTCCCATGGATGTATTCAACTGGGCCAGAGTTTTCTAAGGAGTCAAACTCATCCCAATACTATCTCTTAAGCACGACCTAATTGACACTAAAGTCACTCCTTATGTTGCCAATTCTCGTTTCCACCTATGATGACACCCTGGTCTCAGGACCTGAGTGACACGGATCCAGATCCCTCTGAGGGCAAGCTGAGCTCTGTGTCAGCAATGCAGCCAGAGGCTACTATGGATAACACCCCTTTGAGCTGACCTGCTCATGAGCAGGCAGCACCTAGGAAGCAGGTACTTGTGTGTCTCACCTTCCTAGACTCCCCTACCTTTTTTTCTAATTCTTGGAGTTGAGCTAGAATTCTCTCCTTCTCTTCATCTGCCTCCTGAAGTTGGAGATCTGTAAGGCCTTGGATTTCTTCCATACTTTTTAGATTTTCTTGCAAATAGTGAATTTCATTTTCTAACTGCTGGACTCTTGCTTCATGTTGCCTCTTATCAAAATTAATCTGTGAGGAAATCAAGTTTCAAGAATGATTATTAAGTAAACTATTTTAAACAAACATTTTATAGAATTATCTTTCATTTTAATTTAGGGTGCTAATGAAATTTTGCACTAATGAGTTACTGGGGACAGTTTTATCTAGAATGCCTTCTATGATCCTTTTCAATGTTTGTTTCATCGTTAAAATCATTACATCAAAAAAAAATCAGATTTTGGCACCACACTATACTCTAGTAATGTGATATTATTTACTCACCTGTCACAAAATAATCTCTTACTTGTTCCCAGAACAAGAAAAGCACAGTGTCACAAACAAGCCAGACTTTGATATCATAACCATATTTAGGGTTGAATTTTAGTCACATTAAAATTGACTTGTTGGGCGGCGCCTGTGGCTCAGTGAGTAAGGTGCCAGCCCCATATACTAAGGGTGTCGGATTCGAACCTGGCCCCAGGCAAACTGCAACAAAAAAATAGCCGGGTGTTGTGTTAGGCCCCTATAGTCCCAGCTACTCAGGAGGCTGAGGCAAGAGAATTGCCTAAGTCTAAGAGCTGGAGGTTACTGTAAGCCATGATGACACAGCACTCTACCCAGGGTGACAGCTTGAGACTCTGCTTCCAATAAAAAAAAAATTGACTTGTTATGAGTTAAAATAACGATTGTGTTATATTTACACGAGAAAGGAAGCATTGTAATTTGCTGAAAAATATTAATATCTGCCAAACACTTCCCTCCAGTTGCCTCTTGCCCTTTCCTTACTCTTGCTTCAAGAGCTCTTTCACACGCCTGCTTGAACTCTTCTTGTCCATTTGCCAGTTTTTCTTTCTGCAGAGCCATTTCTTCTTGGAGTTTTCTCTCTCTAACTTGTGCTTCTTCTCTTTCCCACTGGGAGTGTGCAAGAATTTCACTGAATTGTTCTTGTAAATCAGCAAGACTTCTCCCTAAGACATCTGAAGGACTATGGATTCTAGCACGGAGGAAAAAGGAGATAGCATAAATGTGAAATTTTATTTTTGATTTTGGATACAAACATGTTGTTAACAGTAGTGCAAGAGTAAAAATAGCTACCTGGAAGAACCAGTGTCAATCTATAGCAATTTACTTAGAGCAGCTCCTGAGAGCAAATGCTTTATCAAATGACTGTTGCTACTCTGAAAACATAGGCTTGTGTCAGGCTAACAGTGCTTGCTCATAGAATAAATGTCCATTTCATATAACTGAAATAATTCTCAGCTTTCTTTTGATATTTGTTCTCTATTTAAAATGTACAATGTACTCTGCTTCTCGACCATATGTAATGAACTTTCAAGAAAGCATTACTCTTAAAAACTTTATTTTTTAGAGTCAATACCAAAAAGTATCAAAGATCTAAAATGTACAAAATTCTTTTTTTTTTTTTTTTTTTGAGACAGAGCCTCAAGCTGTCCCCTGGGTAGAGTGCCATGGCATAACAACTCCCAGCAACCTCCAACTTCTGGGCTCAAGTGATTTGCCTGCCTCTGCCTCCCAAGTAGCTGGAACTACAGGCGCCTGCCACAACACCCAGCTATTTTTTGTTGCGGCCATCATTGTTGTTTGGCAGGCCCAGGCTGGATTTGAACTCACCAGCTCAGGTGTATGTGGCCAGCACCTTAGTCGCTTGAGCCATAGGCACCAAGCCACAAAATTCTTTTAAAGTGACAATCAGAATTAAAAAATCTTGTGTCTCAGTCATAGAAATGCCATAGGAGAGCCCTACAAAAGAAATCAGCCATGGCTTGGCACCTATAGCTCAGTGGCTAGGATGCCAGCCACATACACCGAAGATGGCGGGTTTGAACCCAGCGCGGGCCTGCCAAACAACAATGACAACTACAACAACAATAACAAAAAATTTTCAGGCATTGTGGCGGGCACCTGTACCTAGCTACTTGGGAGGCTGAGGCAAGAGACTAGCTTAAGCCCAAGAGTTTGAGGTTACTGTGAGCTGTGACATGACAGCACTCTACACAAGGAGACGTAGTGAGACTCTGTCTCAAAAGAAAAAAAAAAGAAGGGCAGCGCCTATGGCTTGGTGGTTAGGACTCTGGCCCCATATACTGAGGGTGGCAGGTTTGAACCCAGCCCTAGCCAAACTGCAACAAAAAAATAGCTGGGCGTTCTGATGGGCACCTGTAGTCCCAGCTACTCAGGAGGCTGAGGCAAGAGAATAGCCTAAGCCTAGGAGTTGGAGGCTCTTGTGAGCTGTGTGGTGCCATGGCACTCTACCAAGAACGATAAAGTGAGATTCTGTCTCTTAAAAAAAATAAAAGAAATCGGCCATGAATAGAACTTTAGAAGGCTGAGTTTATCACTGGACCTCACCTCACACTCTGAGCTTGTGTGGCCCACTCCACATTTGGAGGTCTTGATTTTCCCTTACCTTATTTCCCCAACTCCTAATTTCAGTTTTGCCTTTAGCTCATTCACACGAGTTGCCACTTCTTCTGGACGAATCAAACCATTGACCTTATGGGTGAAGTGATTCTGGAAATCTTTAAGTTGCTGTTTTAACAGGTTATTATCATCCTATGGAGGGGGTAAAATGGGGAGTGTATCTGTTACATGCCAGCTTAGTTTCACTACTAACACATTAGCAAATCTATCTAGATCACAGAACTAAATTCGGATGCTGCTTCTTTCAAGGAAGAAGAAACTGCTAAAATTTTCCTAAATTATAGAGAAAAATAATTTTTCATCCTAAGCTACTGATTGTATTCCTCTGATCTACCTGAATGATTACTTTATTTCAAACTCAGTGAAATACTCCATCTACTGACTGGCCAGAAAACAGGTTCTCACTCTCTTCATAGTTTGAACCAAGACCTAGTACAACAAGTCTGTGTAAGTGCTGGACTTGGAAAGATGTATCAGCTCAGGTCGGAGGTCCACGCTGGGCCAAATAAATGCTCAGAGAGACAGAGAGGTCGGAGGTCCACGCTGGGCCAAATAAATGCTCAGAGAGACAGAGGAGGAGAAATGAAAGAGCCAAGTAGCCCCTGAGAGACTGATAGAGCAGCTCTAGTCCTAGCAAACTATCTCCTTTCTTGAGCTAGAATGGTTCATTGGAACTAAATGACACACAAAGACAAGAGTGGGTCTGGTTTAACTTGTACTCTATGTCAAGAGTTTAGTTGGCCAAGTAACCAAATGACCTAGTTCTAACTCAGATAGTCCTATCGTAAGAGTGAGCATTCTGGAAAGCAAACTTTAGTTTCTACCTTAGAAAAGTCTACTGAAGAATATATTTTAGTCCTTTTCTGTAAGAGATGTATACTGAAGCATTTATCAGTGAAACAAAGATGTATGAGATTTTTCTTTAAAATATTCCAGCAACAAGAAAGGTGGACAAAATAAAACAATGAAAGCTTACAACTGTTTAAGTCAGGCGATGGGCAAACAAAGGATCATAAGACTATGTTCTTGGCCAGGTGAGGTGGCTCACACCTATAATCCTAGCACTCTGGGAGGCCAAGGTGGGTGGATTGCTTGAGCTCAGAAGTTAGAGACCAACCTGAGCAAGAATGAGACTCTGTCTCTAAAAATAGCTGAGCATTATGGCAGGTGCCTATAGTCCCAGCTACTTGGGGGCTGAGACAAAGAGAATCACTTGAGCCCATGAGTTTGAGGTTGCTGTGAGCTATAAACACCTCTGCACTCTACCAAGGGCAACAAAGTGAGACTCTGTCTCAAAAAATATATATATATACTATTTTCTCTTTTTTTCTGATTTGAAAATTTCCATACTAAAAATACAAAGTGATAACCCAATGAAGACCAAATAGGCACATATACAACTCACACAAGAATGGAAAACATGTCTATCTTTTATAATTGCTTCAGAAAGCAATAAAAATTAAATTCTAGGTCATTAGATTTCCTTGAAATTTGGAGGAAAATATCTGAGGTGTTGGAAGAAAAGAAAATTTGAGTAATCTTTGTCTTCCCCCTGCATGGTATTTTTGGAAGCATTCCTCCAAACTACATAAACTTTGCCCCTTTATTTCTGGTGACAAGAGCTGCTACCTCAGCCTGCCACCTCAGCCTGCCAAGTGGCCCCCTGACCTTACAACTTTAGAGATCTGAGTGTTGATTCAAGTACTTGTTTGTTCAGAATCTGTTCTCTTTGAGAGTTTAATTATCTAAAAATTCTATCCACCAGCTTCTCTTGCAGTTTGTTGGGTATATTATTTGTTGAGAACAGCCATAAAAATATTCTGCCATACATTCCCATAAATATAAATGACTGCATTTTAACAGCATATTTTCTGAGACAGGAATTGTGAAAACTATTTACAGTTAAGAAATCCTACTGCACGTAACCCACTCTAGTTAATTTCTGGATAATTACAAAGAATTTCAGTGGAAGAGGAATGCACAAATCTGGTTATTTTAGCTCAATCTGGTTACAAATCTGCTTCTAGAAGGAATGCAAGGTATTGCTTTTGCCCATGTATTTACACAGTATGCTGTTTACTACTGGCATTGCCTCCACTTCTTTGCACCATCCTAACAACAATTCTAAACCACAGTCATAAGAGAACAGAAGCTACAGTACTGCACCACTAAGAATTCGTCTTTTTCTAATAATTCAAGTGGCTTACAATATGTTAGACCAGGTTAAGTCTCTTCCTAAGATATCACCATCTTTGAGTGTAAGAATAAATTCTAAAACAACAAATATCTACCTGCAGTTGTTTAAGTTTTGTGCGGAGCTCACTATTCTCTTGTTCCTTTTCTTCTAAGAACTGGGCTTTTCCAAGGGCACTCTTGAGGGCTTGTCTTTCCTTCTCAAGCTCTGCTTGAAGGGTTGATTGTTCTAACTGTTGCCATAGGAAGCAATGATAAAATAGTGTAAACAATAAATATATGATCTACAGAGACCCAAATAAATTTATATATATCCATGATCCCTTGCTAGTATGGTCAGTTTTATGTTTCTATTTCCAAATGTAAAAACTTAAGTTTTTCTAACATGTCCCTTAAATATTAATACTCAAATAAGTATCAGAATTAGCTCAGTCCAAATACTAAATCAGAATCTTCAAGGGTGGTCCCAAGCACCTACCTTTTTTTTTTTTTTTAAATAGAGACAGAGTCTCACTTTATCGCCCTCAGTTGAGTGTCGTGGCATCACATAGCTCACAGTAACCTCCAAGTCCTGGGCTTAAGCGATTCTCTTGCCTCAACCTCCTGAGTGGGAATACAGGCGCCCGCCACAACGCCCAGCTATTTTTGTTGTTGTTGTTGCAGTTCGGCGGGGCCCAGTTTGAACCCGCCACCCCGCGGTATGTGTGGCCGGCACCCTACTCACTGAGCCACAGGCGCTGCCCCAAGCACCTACGTTTAAAAGCTCCATGAGTAATCCAATTATTGCTGTTTTTTCCCTTAGACCAGTATTTCTCAAACTGCAGTCCTTCAATAGATACTTGCACATTTGTGCTTATTAAAAATACAGATGCTTAGACTCTATCTCAGATTTGATGGACCAGAATCTCTAGGATAGGGCCTGAGAACCTGCATTTAACAAGCTTCACAAGTGATTTCATATAATGTAAGTTTACCAATCAGAGATCTGTACATCAGAGAGAATATATGTTTTGTTCTGTACTCTCAATGTGTGGTTTGAAGACGAGTCCTGGAAGTCCTAGTTCCAAGGGAGAGTGGGGAATGTCCCTTTCAATAGTAAGTGAATCAATGAAAAGGACAGGCTCTTATAATATTTTCATCAAGAATTACGAGGCCAAGTATTGTCCCTCATGCCTATAATCCTAGCATTTGGGGAGGCTAAGGCAAGAGGATCACTTGGGGCCACGAGTTTGAGACAACCCTGAGCAACATAATAAAACTCTATCTTTACAAAAAAATAGTAAAATTAACAGGGCATGGTGGCATGTGCCTGTAGTCTCATCTACTAAGGAGGCTTAGGCAGGAGGATTGCTTAAGCCCAGGAGTTTGAGCTTGCTGTGAGCTATGATGTTGACACTGCATTCTAGTCAATAAAATGAGGCCCTGTTTCCCACCCTACCTCCTCAAAAAAAGGACTCATGACAAAAAAATGAAAGGCAATAGAAGTATAAAGAATTTCAAGCTAGTTAAAGCTAATAAGGGCAGTCTTGAAAAGAATGTAATTTATTTGAAAGGAAACGCCACCTAGAAATTTTATTATATTTAAAAACATTTACTGTTATTTTAATTTTTCCCCCAATGTCCTGTTTTCTGAGATTCTAATCTTGTTAATTATAGTTTTGCAAAACTTAGAACTCTTGAGAACTATAATGCAGATAACTGGCAACTGGTCATTTGATATCTTATAAAGAATACAATAACATAATTATTATAATAAATCAGACATCTTTTCAGTTCCTTTTCTTTTTTTTTTTTTTTTTTTCAGACAGAGCCTCAAGGTGTCCCCCTGGGTAGAGTGCCATGGTGTCACAGCTCACAGCAACCTCCAACTCCTGGGCTCAAGCAAGTCTCCTGCCTCCACCTCCCAAGTAGCTGGGATTACGAGCATCCGCCACAATGCCTGGCTATTTTTTGGTTGCAGCCATCACTGGTGTTTGGCGGGCCTAGGCTGGATTCGAACCTGCCAGCTCAGGTGTATATGGCTGGTGCCTTAGCCATTTAAGCCACAGGCACCGAGCCATCAGTTCCTTTTCTAATCATATGCTTTCTCTGTTACAGGCATTCCTCAGATTCAAAATCTATTAATTCATTTTTACCCATTAAGCACACATTGACACTTCTTATGTGTCAGGCACTGAGAAAACAGAAACAAGCAGATATCAGCATGCCTAGAGGCATATTTTCAGCACTTCAAATACACTGTGATCTCTTTGGCTCTCTGCCTACGATGTACATCCTTTACGTCTATCCCTTTCATGCCACCTCCACATGGCCAAAGCCTTCTCATCCTTCCTTAGCATAAGAAACATTTTTATAGAGTGGACTTCCCTGACTGTCCCTTCCTCCGCCACAGAACTCTGTCCCTTTTTTCTTTTATACTTTTTTCACCTGCTGGACTGTCAGTCCACAAGACATTGCCCATATCTGTGTTCTCTCTGGAGCACCACAGCACCTGGCTCTCAATGGTCAATCAATAAGTATTAGATGAATTATTCTTTCTCTAATTTGCAAGTATAATTTAAATGAGTCCTTCAACCAACCATAATAGGAACTGACAAACTAAAATTTAACATCAACTTAAAAGAGAATCTTGTAAAGCTGTTCTAAGAAACAAACACTAGAATTTATTGAATATCAATTGGTAGGTGCTTTCATGTCCATTATCTTCACCACAAGCCATTTTACACAGAGGAACAGTCTGGGAGGCTCAGAGCCATGAAATGATTTGCCCATGAAGTACTAGTCAAATGACTAGTATTTGAACTCAGAATGTCAATTCCAAAAATGTGCCTTTCCCACCACTCCATATATACTATATTAAAAGGTGCTATCTTAAATTAAGATATAAGTAAAGGAAAGATGGTATCTTCAAGTACAGCTACTTAGTTTCTAGTTGGGTTCATGCTCTTACTTACCTCAGTAAGCCTTGTGAGTTTTTCCAACTCTTCCTTGAGCTGGTTGGCTTCAGCATCCTTCAGTTTCATCTGAGCCTCTAGCTCAGTTTCATAGGCACTGAGATCTCCTTGAGTCTGCTGCAAGGACACATTCATCTCATGCTGCTCCTGGAGGGCACTTTCTAGCTCTGCAAGCTCCTGGAAGAATTCAGTGTATTTAACTATGGAATCCTTACTATGTTGCTTGAGCATCTACAAGTCCTTAGAAGTAACTGCTGCCTGCCATCGGAAGTTTTCATTAGCTGTACATATTTTGCTTGGAAAACAGTACCCTGGCTAAATGTAATCAGGAAAATAAGTAACTACCAACATATTTCCCAAAGTAACCATTTGTGTGATGGTTTAAATGAGTCAAAAAACATAAGAAGGAAGAAGGGAACAAAAGAGAAAGGAAGATAAGATTTAAAGGCCTATTTTCCATCAAACACAGGACTAAATGTTTTCACATTCATATTTCACTGTATCTTCACAATAACTGTACAAGGCAACTTGCATAGTTTTACAGATAAAGAACTAGAGAATAAACATCTAGGTAAATTACACAGGGCTGTGTACTAGAAAAAAGATAAAGCCAGGATATGAATCCAGAGCTCTGACTCCATAGCTCACACTCTTCCTATTAAACTACAGCATGTGCACTTAGCAAAGGAATGAAATGGAAGTGGCATTCTCTAAGATTAAGGAGGATAGAGTAACTTAAAGGAGTACCAACAAAAATGTAAGCACATATTTATTAGCATATCATGGGTCTGACTCATTTTAGTTCATTTGTTTCTTGTGATTAAACATTACAACCTTCATCTATTTATTTGAGATCTTAAAGAATTCTGTATTAAAAAGAAAGATCCTGTGATGAGAACTTCTACAGAAGAGTTTCTCAAAAGGGTGATCCAAAGACTACTTGGCATAATCATCTGGGCAGCTTGTTTGAAATGCAGATCCCATATATAACCTACAGAATATAAACAGAACTCCTACAAATCTTTTTACTTTTTTCCCAGAATGTAAAAAGAATTCTTATAACCTTTCAGAAAAAGCACACAATTCAACAGAAATATAAGCAAAGAACATGCATAGGGAATCCACTAAAAAGGGAGACTGAATAGCAAAAAATGAAAGGTTTGCTTTTCGAGTAATCAGGGGGAAATGCAGTTAACATAAGATACTATTTTACACAGAGCATAGGGGTACAAGTTAAATAAACCATGAGAAAACAAATACAGAATATGGGACAATCTGCATGACTACCAGCCTAGATTCTAAACACACACACACAAGCTATAAAAGACATTCTTGAGGCTCGGCGCCTGTGGCTCAAGCGGCTAAGGCGCCAGCCACATACATCTAAGGTGGCGGGTTCGAATCCCCAGCCCGGGCCCGCCAAACAACAATGATGGCTGCAACTAAAAAATGGCCGGGCGTTGTGGCAGGCACCTGTGGTCCCAGCTACTTGGGAGGCTGAGGCAGGAGACTCGCTTGAGCCCAGGAGTTGGAGGTTGCTATGAGCTGTGATGCCATGGCACTCTACCCAGGGGATAGCTTGAGGCTCCGTCTCAAAAAAAAAAAAAAAAAAAAAGACATTCTTGAGGCCACTGAGAAAATTTGAATATACTTCAGATATTAGATGACATTAGGGAATTACTGTTAATTTTCCTAGGTGTAATAATGGTGTTGTAGTGGTTTGGGAAACTGACTTTATTTTTAAGAAATGTGTGTTGAAGAGATGATGTTATGATGTCTGCAACTTTCTAACGAGCAGAGAAAGAGGTATGAAAGAGAGAAAATAAACACATCAAAATATTGACTCTAAGAAGGCTCACAAATGTGCACTGAACTATTCTTTCAACTTTCCTGTAAGTATAAACATTTTCATAATAGAAAGATGGGGAAAATACCATTTAAAATTCAGGAGATTGGCAAACATGAAGTTTGATAAAATATTAAATTTTCTGAGTTTGATAATTATTCTGTGTTTATTTTAGAAAAATGTTAGGAAACACATGCTGAAGTATTTAGGGACAAAGAAGCATGATGTCTACAACTGATTTTCAAATGGTTCAGGAAAAAAATTTGTATAACAATATGTAAAATGACACAAATTATTTGTGAGAAAGTGAAATATTAGTTGATGACTTTAAGTGAAAATGTGAGGCATTTTTATTACTCTTACAAATTTCTTGGAAGTTAGAAATTATTTCAAAATAAAAGCTTAAAAAAATAAATGGACAACACTAAGGTGTTGGCAAGGATGTGGTAGAACCTTAATCCTCACATTGCTGGTAGGAACAGAAAGTGATAAAGTCACTATGGACAGTAATTTGACAACATGTACTGAAGTTAATTAAGGACAGACATACTCTCTGACTCACAGTTCTACTTCTGAACGTAGTACATGATCAAAATGTGTGCAAAAATATTTCATGTTCCCTTGTTTGTAATAGCAAAAGACTGAAAATCACCTAAATGCCCTCTAAAAGGAGAATGAATAAATAGTAAGTTTATGGTATGTATAACATACAATGGGATGCTCCACACATCAATAAACAAAGCAGAGCTACATGTATCAATGTACATAATTCTTGACATAAGGAAAGGAAGTGGTCAAAGAATATGTACACTATGATACCTTTTAGATAAGTCTTAAAATCATGGAAAACAATACTGTATACTGCCTATGGATATTTACATAGATATTAAAAGAACAGAGATGCAGGGGAATAATAACCATTAGTTATTATTGTCAGATTACATACTTATTAGCGGGGAGTACAGATAGGGTTTCAAATACATCTATAATGTTTTAGTTCTTAAGCTATATTATGAGCACAAAAAAAGACCAACTATTTTTGATATTTTAATATGCCTGAGAAATTTTTTAACATTAAAATATATTAATTCATATTTCTGGAGCCATTCCTATTGAGCATGAGGTTTAGAAATCTGTGGTTCTCATGCATGATGATAAAGTTTGCCAAACAACTAAAATAAAGCCAAGTGAAATTTCCAAGTGAATAGGCAACAAATCAGTTATGGAAGGGCCTAATTTACAACACTGCATCTGTTTTATAAGCTGAAAAATAATGCCAAATTTATTAAGTAGTAACTACAAGAATAAGATAAACCACACTGTGTTCCTGCTTCATAAATAATAAAGTATGGACATCTAATACAGTATTTGTAGTAGTTTCAATTTCATATTCTTTAGTTATTTGACAACAACTTTCAGGAACATAAATACAACTAAAATACTCTTCCTTTTCTTAGAAAAGAAAAAATAATGATTTCAATGTATCACAGCTAACAAAGAAAAAAAAAGCCCAACTTTTAAAGGAAATAAAACCATCATATAGCCACTAATACTTTTTGCCACTTGTATAATTGACTGTTAACTTCTTCAACTAACTTCATTTGGACATTATCACTTTTCAAGCTAGAGAAAATAAGCAGGAAGAAACAATCATACCTTTTTCATATTTTCTGCATCCATGGCAACTATTTCCAGTTGGTCCCTTTCCTGCTTGACTTCAGTCAATTTCTGTAGCAATGTCTCTTTCTCTTCCTGTAGCTTCCTGCACTCATTCTGGGCCTGAGTTGCTTGGCCTTTGATGGTCCCCAGGTATTCTTGCAATCCACTAATGACACCTTCTAAATCCTTCTTCAGGGCTTCATTTGCTGCTATCTGGCCTGAGCAAGATGCAAGAAGGATGATAATGTATATTTCAAAGGTATTACATTATCTCCCTAGTGATTTGTTACTAGCCAAGAGTGAAATTCTAAGCTTTCAATGATTTCTTATTATTCATAATATAGGAGTATTAAGCACATGTATAGTAAAAATAGTATATTTAGTTAGCAATGATTATAAAATGCCTGATTCATGCTATAAAAAGTTAAATAATTTCCAAATACAATAATGCAAAACATGTAGCAAAAGTTGCTGTTAGATATAATACAAAACCACTCTACACAAAACTAATACAAGACTAGCAGCATAAGTATGTAATCTGACAATTTAGAAAAGAACCACACCCATACATACCATATATAACACTAAATACTTACTATATGCCAGGAACTTTATGAATACTACCTCAGTTAATCCTCCCAACAATTAATGACTGAGATAGAAATAACTTGTCCTAGGTAACATAGCTGATAATGGCAAGACAGGAACTGGCACCTGAGTCCAGGGTCTCACCCCAAAAGCCCATTGTCTTCCTCTTCCACTATTATAAAAGTGCCAAAATTTAAATTCACATTGCAAAAGCAGATCCCAAAGTTCTTTCTACATTCTTCTTATAACTAGATACTGAATTCCTTGATGCCAACAGACACTTCATTCCTGGAAGGATTTTATGCCATAGACAAAGACAATCACATGCCAGAGCTCATCACAATCATGTGTTTATTTCCTGCCTACTGAATGGAATGACCTAAAGTCACTAGGCATAAAAGCAATAAAACAAAACAAAAATAAAATTTTAAATATTTCCCTATCAAATGCTACTACTAACAGCTGAACTGTATTCAGCTAACATTTAGATAAATGCCTACCTTTATCAACTTTCATTTATTAATAATGATACTGATTTATCTTAAATCATACTTAAATTCTCACCTTCAGTAAGCTGTTGTTCAAGGTCCTTAATCTCTTCAGTCTCCTTAGCAATTCTAAAAAGTATCGAATCCAAACGGCTTTCAAGTTGTTTGTACTGCTTGCTCATAATGTCAAGCTGTTGTTCTTTACCCCTTTTCTGAGCCTTCATATGAGACTGAAATGAAAAAAAAAAATCCACAAAAACTCTATGTTCTTTAAACCTTTAAAAATAATAATCCTTAACAACATTTTTAGGGAAAGAATATAAAACATAATCATTTGCATCTATTTTGTGTCAGGCCCTGTATTTTTTTCACATAGGTAGTTTCATTTAAACCTCAGGCTAACTTAATGTAGGAATCATTGCCATTTTACAGATGAGAAACCTGAGGATCAAAGAAGCTTGATCAGCTGAGGTGACAGCTTGAAAGTATATCCAAAAATATTAACAAGGATCATATCTACACTTGATCTCAACCAAAAGGCAAAAAAACAATAACAAGAATTATATCTGAGTGAAAGATTTTTTCCAACTTTTCTAATAGATAAGTAATGCCTTTTTAATTTGAAAAAGCACATTTAGGCTCAGTGCCTATGGTGCTAGTGGCTAAGGCGCCAGCCACATACACCTAAGCTGGCAGGTTCAAATCCAGCCCAGGCCTGCCAAACAACAATGATGGCGGCAACCAAAAAACAGCCAGGTGTTGTGGTGAGCGCCTATGGTCCCAGCTACTTGGGAGGTGGAGGCAGGAGACTCGCTTGAGCCCAGGAGTTGGAGGTTGCTGTGAGCTGTGAAAGCACAGCACTCTAACCCAGGGGGACAGCTTGAAGCTCTGTCTAAAAAAGAAAAAGAAAAAGCACATTTGATGTACTTTTTAAAAAAACGTTTCTTAAAAGAAAATAGAGACATGAAATACTTGGAATTTAAATTTATTTATAAAGAAACATTTTGTTTTTAGATTCAACAAACTGAAAGCCCAGAGGGATCTCAGAAAGACAACTTAACCCAGTAAATCTCAAGATGGATGGCCCCAGGGAGGCATCCCCACCACCACTGCTACCTTTGCCCCTGGTAGAACACATTCACACACCCTGACTGGCACTGCTGTTAACTGAAAGAAGTAGACTGCGTCTCTCAGGTGTGCGAGGGAAAACAAATCAAGAACCATTGATCTATAGGCCAAGGTGGGTAGACTGCTTGAACTCACAGGTTGGAGATCAGACTGAGCTAGATTGAGATCTCATCTGAAAAAAATAAAAAATAAAAAAGGGGCAGAGCCTGTGGCTCAAAGGAGTAGGGTGCCGGTTCCACATGCCAGAGGTGGCGGGTTCAAACCCAGCCCTGGCCAAAAACTGCAAAACGATAAAAAATAAAAAATAGCTGGGCGTTGTGGCAGGCACCTGTAGTCCCAGCTACTTGGAAGGCTTGCTTGAATCCAAGAGTTTGAGGTTGCTGTGAGCTACGATGCCATGGCATTCTACCAAAGGTGACAAGTGAGACTCTGTCTCAAAAAAAAAAAAAAAGAAAAAGAAAAAAATATAAAAAACCCCAGTAATTTAGTCTAACATTTTCCTTTACACATGAAAAAACTGAATCTCAGATCCATCAAATGACTTGCCCAGGTTTCTTAGGCAACTGTTCAAAGGGAGATAATATACATCTCCAGAGAACCTTTGCCTTCCCACTCACATCCTCATTTTTGTAAGTTTGCCCCCATAGGATCAGAAGAATAGAACAATAAATAAAGAGAAAGTTGAGATAGAGAGATTGAGAGAGAGAAACTGTATCAGAGTTTGAACAATGAACACCAAGGTTCTCAAATATAAGACCCATTTGATTATAAAAAAAATTTCTTGATTTTAGGTGTCTGCTTCCCTCAAATACAAGAAAAAAAAATTCTTCTTTTTTGATGAATAAATGAATGGCAGCTTAATTTGAAGGCTGTAATTTTTACTACTAGTAAAACCTGATGGGATTTTCAAAACTCTTCTACTTACACTTCCAAAACACCCATTTGAAATCTTTCTGAAAAGGTTAACTGCAGATAACAACTTACAGTCTAAGTAAATTTAGGATTTTTATGGCTCAAGAAAGAATAAAAACAAAACTACTGAACTCATATCTGTATCAATAAATCTCTAAAGTTCACTATTAAAAATTTTCCTGAAACCTCTATATGCAGGACAAAAATTTAGTTCTGCGAATGGTGTGCATTAAACACATAGAAGTAAAGGAGATTCTGTGGTTTTCACTACTATGGAGTTCACAAAAGAGTTATTGTAAAACAGGAACTTACATCTGACTCCTCCTCCTTTTAAGTCCTTTGTACAGAGAGAGAAAAAATGATCCTACCTTAACTTAGAATTTGTCCTGTTAAAACTGAGCCGTTGAGAACAGTGAACTTGTGGGCGGAACGCTTTTTAATGCTGTCTTCAAATAATTCATGTGTACTTCCCTCTCTGACAGCCACATTTTCACAAGCGCTTTGGAGCCTGTGTTACTTCGCAGAGCCCCAAATTACATTCCTGCCAAAGAGTGAGTGGCGGCGCAGGCCGTCCAATCACTAGCAAGCTCTGTGGACAGGCCCCACCCTCTGAGCTTTAAATCATAACACAGGAAGCTCCCTTGGGCCAATCACGCCCAAACGGTGCAACAGATCACTACAGGCTAGTTCCCTCTAGCAAACAGTTACCTTTTGCTTCGATCAAGCATTTCCTGATAGGGAAGAACAAAACAAATTTACTATTTGCTTTTCTGATATTTGTGCTTCTATGAACAGCAAGTATTATAACTAAGATGGGATTTGATTTTTAAAGGACACCTTTTCCTTTTGAACCATAGTCAAAAATGCTTATATTTGTTGAAAACACGACACAGCTAATTTTAAAATAATTAATCTCTTTAGACCTTTAATCCCTTTGGGAGAAGAGGGTCATTGTAGTAGCATAAGCAAGGGTTACACCTCTTCCTCTTAAGGGTGATTTGGGCCAAATCACTTAATGATTCAAAAGTATGCCACCTTATGTGGATGTGGTGATAAATGACTCACCAGTGCATACAAAATACTCAGCACAAAGCAAGGGACATTGTTGTGGGCACTAAATATGTTTGTTTTCTGTGATATCTCAAACCTGCACTTTTAAATTCTATTGGCTTTTCAAAAAGATACTTTATTTGATTAGATAATAAAATTTAATTAGATAAGTCTGTCCACGTCTATAGAAAAATACACAGGGATCCCATTCTGATTCTTTCTCCTTTGCTAAAAGACTCACATTTTGCAGCCTAAAATGGAGTGCTTAACGCTAGCCAATAAGCAACTTTACAAGTTAAAAAAAGATGCTCCCTACCAGTGATGCTCTCTACACTTAAGCAACTGAAAAATAAATGTCTTCTGGTACTGGGACTAAGACTGCAACCATAAGAACTAACTTATAGTAGTTTTAACAAAATCAAAAAGGAAACTTAAATCTGGTTTGTATGTTTCATCCCCACTAGCATAGCTTGATTTTGGCTACCTCCAGAACTTTTCTACATCTCATTTAGCTCTTTTCTATATGTAATTCTTTTTTTTTTTTTTTTTTTTTTTAGACAGAGCCTCAAGCTATCCCCCTGGGTAGAGTGCCATGGCATCATGCTCACAGCAACCTCCAACTCCTGGGCTCAAGCGAGTCTCCTGCCTCAGCCTCCCAAGCAGCTGGGACTACAGGCGCCCGCCACAACGACTGGCCATTTTTTTTTTTTGGTTGCAGCCATTATTGTTGTTTGGCGGGCCTGGGCTGGGGATTCAAACCCGCCACCTTAGGTGTATGTGGCTGGCGCCTTAGCCGCTTGAGCCACAGGCGCTGAGCCTATATGTAATTCTTTACAGAAATCCATAGAATTAAACTCCCTGTCCACTAGGATTATTACAGTCATTTGTTGAAAGCAAACACAGGCTGAGTGCAGTGGCTTACAACTATAATCCTAGCACTCTGGGAGGCCAAGGCGGGTTGAATGAGCTCAAGAGTTCGAGAAAAGCAAGAGCAAAAGCAAGACCTCATCTCTACTAACAATAAAAAAACTAGTTGGGTCTTGTGGCTGGTGTCTGTACTCCCAGCTCCTTGGGAGGCTGAGGCAAGAAGATTACATGAACCCAAGAGTTTGAGGTTGCTGTGAGCGAGGATACTACAGCACTCTACTTTGGGCTACAGAGGAGACTCTGTCTCAAAAATAAAACAAAATAAAATAAAAAGACAGCAAACACATAATCCAGGTACTAATCAGACTCATAGATCACAGATTCAATCAATTTTAATTGGATTCAATTTTTAGGCTTTTGTTAGAAAGGACCTTATTATCCTTGATGATGAGGTTATCCTTTACCAAAATTTGCTGGCTCAGAAAATATATATATATTTTACTAAAATGTTTAAAGAAATAATTAAATAACTTGTCAAGTACTTAAAATAGAGTGCTTTGTCTTCACCATGTGAAATTCTATTATGTCTATTAATTCAGACCTTAAAATTTTCTTTTAAAAAAACCTTACTATCCAAAATATGCCAGAAAAATACATAGAAAATATAGAAATGTTAGCTAAAATATAAGCCATTAGTATGACTTCTCAAGGTAGAGACAGAGACGGAGTAGGGAACCCACAGCCTCAAGACCACATATGGCCCTCCAAATCCCCAAGTGCAAACACCTCCCCTTTCATTAAAAAGATTTGCTCTGTAAAATTTGGATTCAGTTAAAAGACCACACTCAAGGATCCAGAAGGCCACAGGCCATAGGTTCTCCACCCCAACCATACACTAGAGAAAGCATTTTTTAGGACAAAACAATATGACATACCAAATAGCTTTAGTGCAATATTTGCATAAAGGATTAAAGTAAGAGACTTTGAACAGACTTCGGCTCTTTCTGCTCTTAAAAAGGAAGAAAAGAAGGCGATGAAGGAGAAAGGGCAAGAGGTTTGGACTGCATCTTGGAGCAGTTTCATTGCTCTGAAATGCAAAAATAATGAAGTATACTATGAAGCTACCATTTACCAAAACTACCTCCTTCATGCCTTAGGTTATTTGGGTTAGATATACACACACATCTCATACATGTGTACATATGTATATATATATGTTTATATACAGGGTGGACGTAAAGTTCATCCTTTATAGACAAACTATTTTAAATTGCACATGAACTTTATGTCTACATCCACCGATGCTCAATTTCCTTATATAAAATGGTATAGTATTTTCATTTAACCTACATACATCCTCCCATATACTCCTAATACACCTAATACAATGTAAATGCTATGTAAATAGTTGTTATACTGCACTGTTTAGAGAATAATAACAAGGAAAAAAGTCTGTACATGTTCAGTGTAGACATAATCATTTTTTTTTAATATTTTCAATCTGAGGTTGGTTGAACTCATGGATGCAGAACCCATAGATACAGAGGACTGACTATATACATCACTTATACTTGTGGATCAAACTAAAAGAGACTTTGTGAATGGTCACTGCTGCTAACAATGATGAGACCTACTATCTAGACAGAATGACAATCTGGTCTCTATAGAACAAGCGAAAATTTCCTAATTTACTCACGTGTTTTGGGTCTTTGGAATCCAGGGTATCTACGGCTATTTGTAGGTCCTGGATCTCCTTGTCCTTTTCAGTACTTTCTTGCCTTTGCTTTTCCATTCGCAGTTCTAGATCCAGAGCTTCCTGGCGTAGTTTATTTACAAGTTGTAGTTTACCACTCAACTGTCTGAGAAGAAGGTCTCGCTCTGCCTCTGAAATCTGACCCCCAACCAGACACATAATTAATAGGAGACAAAGGGTAACACTGAGTTATAAAGACAGTAATTCATTTAAAAAAGGCATTCTATTGGTATTCTTTTTGAGACAGAGTCTCACTTTGTCACCCTCAGCAGAGTGCTGTGGTGTCACAGTTCACAGCAACCTTAAACTCTTGGGCTTAAGCAATTCTCTTGCCTCAGCCTCCCAAGTAGCTGGGGACAAGAGGCACCTGCCATAATGCCCAGCTATTTTTAGAGATGGAGGTCTCACTCTGGCTCAGGCTGGTCTCGAACTCATGAGCTCAGGCAATCAACCTGCCTCAGCCTCTCAGAGTTCTAGGATTCACAGGTGTGAGCCACTGTGCTCAGCCTCTATCAGTATTTTTTAATAAAAGTAAAAGGTAGATGTTGTCTAGGCACTCCAGGTGTATCTCATTATATGTTGAAAGTCTTATTTTATAAAAGTATATGAAAATAATAATTTAGTAGCAGGTAAAAATGAAGGTATTCTAGTAGAAGCAACTTTCAAATTAATAACAATTACCATAGAATTAATGATAGCTGACTTTATATAGCCCTTACTATGTGTCAGGCATTGTTCTAAACTCTATATCCTTTAACTTACTTAATCCTCAAAACATATAAGATAAAAAGCATATTTATTCCAATTTTACAGGTAAAGAAACTAAACCATGGAAAATTTAAATATCCAAGATCATACTAGAAAGTTGTGGAACCAAGACTTTGTGTGCATCTAGACAATTTTACTGGCTACTATGTTACAGTTTCCTAATCAGTTTAAACTTGAAGCTAGTCGACCAATAAATTTTGACTACTAATATAGAGATAATAACTAAATATTATATCTCCTACTTCTAACAGTTTGTAGCATAGAGACTTAAACAAATGTAGAAATGTTTCTCAAAAGTCTGTATAGAAGGCTCGGCGCCTGTGGCTCAAGTGGCTAAGGCGCCAGCCACATACACCTAAGGTGGCGGGTTCGAATCCCCGGCCCGTGCCTACCAAACAACAATGATGGCTGCAACCAAAAAATGGCCAGTCGTTGTGGTGGGCGCCTGTGGTCCCAGCTACTTGGGAGGCTGAGGCAGGAGACTCGCTTGAGCCCAGGAGTTGGAGGTTGCTGTGAGCGTGATGCCATGGCACTCTACCCAAGGGGATAGCTTGAGGCTCCGTCTCAAAAAAAAAAAGTCTGTATAAAAGGAATGCAGACAAAAAATTGAAAGGAAATAAAATGAAATACTAATGTTGACTATGCAATTCCCCATAATGACAATACCTTTATAATAAGGAAAAAAATTTAAAATGCCATGTTTACCAGTAAAACCATCTTACACTACAGAATTGCAAAATATAGCAAACTCATTAAATTGCAATTTTTATTTCACTGAATAAGAACCAAGATAAAGCTTACCTTTGACAGCATGTCAACCAAATGAAGAGCATAAAGAAAAATTCAGATTTATATTTAGTCATTTAAAATAAATATTTTCCCAAGTATACTTTGGAAGCATCTATTTATTTTAAAATTATGAATGTTATTTATATCTATCAATGTATGTAAAGCTTTTCCAGTGCTATTATAAAAGATTCTTATTTAATTTTTAAACCATCTTGATAGCACCCTCCATCTCATGCCTTATTTTCTTTTTTTTTTTTTAATTTTTCAACGAGGGTCTCACTGAGTTGCTCAGGCTGGTCTTGAGTTCCTGCCCTCAAGCAATCCTCCCATGTCAGCCTTCCAAGTAGCTGGGATTACAGGCACAAGCCACTGAACCAGGCTTAAGTCCTATCAGTTCTGCTGCCTAATTTTTCTTTACACTCAGTTAGCTTTCTCTCCCTGTCTACCAGTACCTTCATGGTAAGCCATTACCATCTCTGAACAACAGCCTCTGATAAATACATACATCTCTATTCTTTCCATTTTCCTTACCCTATTTCACTCTCACACAGTAACTAAAGTGACAAATAGGATTAGCCACTCAACTACCTAAAGCTCTTCAAAGGTTTCTCATTGCATGGAAAATAAAATTCAAACTCCTAAAAATGGCCGTTGAAGTCTGGCATGATCTTTAACCTCATGACTCTTTAACTTCATGTTCTACTACATTCTCCTTGACTCTACAGAGAAGTCTTCGTCTGAAGGCCTTTGCACACCTATCACCTCTGCCTGAAATACTCTTTCCCTCGACTCTGCCTCACTGGCTCCTTCTCATCCGTTGTGGACCCCCACAATCTAAATTATACCTCTTTTATTATTTCTCCTAGTTTTCCATTTTTTTCCTACAACACTGATGCTGTTTAACTATATCTTCATTTTTTACATTTTTGCTTGTTTATTGTCTATTTCCTCTACAAGTCTGACCATGAGAGAGGAACACGTCTGTTTTGTTCATTACTAAGTACCCAGCCCAGTCAGTGACAGGCATATATTATATAGTAAGCTTCCAATAAAGTGCAATAAATTTTTGTGACTATGTAATATGAAAGTAACAATACAGTGTAGGTTTTAAAGTAATCTACAATTTGAACTTCATATTCTTATTTTACCTTACTAATGTTATGAATGTCATTACCATTATAACTTTGAAATTCATTTTTCAAAGTTGCATGTGTAAATAACTAAAACTTTTTATATCCTTTATGAAATTAAAAAGTCAAAATATTTCCTTTTTTGAATTTTCTTCCTATGCAATTACACCATGGGTTTGAGCTACTTATTTTATGACACTGATAATTTCTGAAAGTATGTTACTTCAGTCTTTTTGTGTATCATATTTTATATCCTTTTTGTTTGTTTTTGCTTCTTGTGTTTGATAATGTTCATGCTGTAGCAAAGATGGTTTCTGGTTCTTAATCTGGGTCCCCGAATCTTAAAGGTGGAGGGTGTTAACTAAATTAGAAGAGCTATATCAGGAAGCAACTTCCCTGAGTAAAGTAGCCACTTTCACAATATAGTAGACTATATACCTTTTTACAGAAATTTTAAGTAATTTATTTCTATATGCTTTATAAAATGCTAGTTGGATGTCATCATGAATGGAAGGAAAATGTAACTGGGAAATACCAGAACCATATTCAACTCTGAAATTTTATTATTTCATAATTAATTAGGTAACACTGATTTAAAAGCTGTTAATAGTATTATAAAGGGGAAACATTTCATTTTTTCATTTCCTCTTAGCATTGCTGCTTTGCTTTTACATACTTTTTTTAGTTGTATAGCTTCTTCTAGTTGTTTAAATTCTTCCGTAGCTCTTAAAATCTGTTGTTCTGCCTTTTCTATTTCATCATGAAGTTCTGACAGTCGAGTTTGTGCTGAAAATTTAAAAACCATGTTCATATATATATACACAAGAAAAACCTACAATTCTGAAATTTCTACCAGATTTTATTTCTTTGCAATAACCTCTTTCCTCAATTAAATTCTGTCATTATTGACCACAGACATTTTAAAATCATCTCTATTAGTTAATCTGTAGAATAAACTGTTTTATGATATGCGATAGAACTCTAACTGATCCTTTCACTTGCAAAGTTCTTAACGTAAAGGGGGCTTTACTTGATATTCCCAACACTAGTAAACCCTTTTGAGAGAATAAGGATTTTTATTTGGAAATAAGACATTTTATAAGTCAATAATTTGTATTTAGGTTCAGAGTAATTTTTTGGTTTTGCACTAAGCTCATGGCCCCACTGATGAGCTTCTCTCTACTCTATTAGGTTCAGAGTATTTTTTAAAAAACAAAACCTGTGTTAGAGGTGAGTCAATATCAAAAAACCTCACTACTGAGCTGTCTCTTCCAGTTGGAGGTGACTGCAAATCAATTATTTTCTATCTCCAATTTCAGATTTGTGTCTCCCTCACTTCCTCCTACAAAATTATTAGCCAGCCCTGTGAAGCTAGTCTGAACATATATCTGATTTATTTTTGCTTCCCCTCTCCAGAGCCTTATATATAGTGTATGGAGACATGGAGAATTCAGTCTCTTCTCTTCCCTCACCAAGTCAACCTCTACTAGCCTTCCATGTCTCCATTTAGCTACCATATCAAGGGAAGGAGAGATGCTAATCTGTTTGGTTAGAGACCCCCAATGGGCCATGATTACTAGTAGGATACATGAACTCAGGTCTGCCTTCTCTTTTTTCCATATCCACAGCTGAGTAAATAAGTGGATTCAAAGTTTGTTACTGGTAGTCTCTAAAGTGCCCTCTTGATTTAACTTCTTCCTTTGTGTGGCTTGCCAGAAAGTAGTCAGATCCTTTAAGATAAATTGTGGGGCTGGACACCTGTAGCTCAGTGGCTAGGGCACTGGCTACATGGTCTGGGACTGGTAGATTTGAACCCGGGCCAGGGCCTACTAAACAAGAAAATAAAAATAGCCAGGGATTGTAGCAGACACTTGTGGTCCCAGCCACTTGGGAGGCTGAGGCAAGAGAATTGCTTAAGCCCAAGAGTTTGAGGTTGCTGTGAGCTATGATGCTACAGCACCCTACTGAGGGTGACAAAGTGGGACTTTGTCTCAATAAAAAAAAAAAAAATTGTGGGGTTAAGGGGAAAGCTGGAGAGGTAGAATGTAGGGTATCAGATAGAATCAGAAGACAGCCTTAAGCCCAAGCTAAGAAGAGTACTCTGTTCTTAGCTTAGTCTCCATATGAAGCATTGCTTTAGGTTTTGGTTACCTGCATAGTAATCAATAAAATGGTTCTTTACTTGCTTCAATTATTATCAATCATGGCTTTGAATGTATAGTTCCAACACCTCTTGGCAAGAGATTTACCCACTCGTGAATTCTCTGGACATGTGGCTAGGCTATCAAATTATTATCAAAACCCCATTGTCTCTCTCTCTTCTTTTTTTTTTTTTAGAAACAGAGTCTCACTTTGTCACCCTTGGTAGAATGCTGTGGTGTCATAGTTCACATCAACCTCCAACTCGTGCGCTCAAGTGATTCTCTTGCCTCAGCCTCCCAAGTAGCTGGGACTATAGACATCTGCTACAATACCCAGCTATTTTTAGAGATGGAGTTTCGCTCTTGCTTAGGCTGGTATAGAATCTGTGAGCTCAGGGCAATCTACCCACCTCGGCCTCCCAGAGTGCTAGGATTATAGGTGTAAGCCACCGCACGTGGCCTAAAAACCCCATTCTCAACCATAACAGGAATCACATAAAAAATAATCTCATCAATGAATCACTACTTCTGTCTTAGGCTTTTTATGTAAACAATATGATAAATACCATCAGCATGTTTAATTAAAAGAATTACAAAACAAAATTGGCCTTCATATTCAATCTTTATTTATTTATTTTTTTTAGAGACAGAGTCTGACTTTGTCACCCTCAGTAGAGGGCCATGGAGTCACAGCTCATAGCAACCTCCAGCTCTTGGGCTTAGGTGATTCTCTTGCCTCAGCTTCTCAAGTTGCGGGGACTACAGGCACTTCACACAACACCCAGTTATTTTTTTTGTTGCAGTTTGGCTGGGGCCAGGTTTGAACTCACCACCCTTGGTATATGGGACTGGCACCCTACTCACTGAGCCATAGGAGACGCCCTCAATCTTTATATTTTTAAAGAATTTAGGCCGGGTGCCTATTAGAGCACCAGCCCTGTCCACTGGGGGTGGCATGTTTGAACCCAGCCAAGGCCTGCTAAGCAAACAAAAAAAAAGAATTTAAAATAACTTCAAACCTGCACTTATTTTTTTTTCTTTGTCTTCCAGTTGTACATTCGGTGGTACATGAGTTCTCAAGTTCACATGCTCATTTCTAAGCTGTTCCTCTTCATCTAGCTGAATCTTCTTGATCTGCACTGCCTGGGCATTATCAATAATGTAACTCTCTGTGGCAAACATATTTCTCTTGTATCTTGATTTGCCAATGTAAGGACTTTCATCTGGGGTGTTGTCAATTTCACCATACTAAAAGCAAAATAAATTAATAGATACATGATTTAATAAGTAACTTCCAAGCAAATGACATTATTCACTTTATTAGTAACAAAAGTACCACAGAATTGCCTAAGTTTATATTAATCCTGCATGCCTGGACACTTAGAAATACCTATTTTTCTTTTGTCTTATTTTAGTCTTATACCTATTTTTCTTTTGTCTCTTTTTTGAGACAGAGGCTCAAACTGTTGCCCTGGGTAGAGTGCTATGGCATCATAGCTCACAGCAACCTCCAATTCCTGGGCTCAAATGAGTCTCCTGCCTCCACCTCCCAAGTAGCTAGGACTATAGGCGCCTGCCACAATGCCTGGCTATTTTTTGGTTGCAGCCATCATTGCTGTTTGGCAGGCCTGGGCTGGATTCGAACCCACCAGCTCGGGTGTATGTGGCTGGTGCCTTAGCCGCTTGAGCCACAGGCGCCAAGCCTTGTCTTATTCTTAATTTACCAAAAAGGAATCAGAAGTAAAAATGGTCTCAAAAGGATTCTTATTCCTACCACTAAACAGTAAAAGTCTGGACTGACTGATTAAAGAATTGCCTGCAGTTATATGAGTTTTAGTTCTGTTTGCTCTTGCAAATTAGAAATCTGGATATTTCATTTTGTTTTCTTGGCTGATATAAGTAAAATCTCAGTCTGATAAATTTTAACAATGAATTTTAAAAATTAAATAACATATGGTATTGGTTGGAATCACCAAGTCTTAGAAATTAGGCAGTTCTTTTTTGCCAAAGAGATTTCTAAGAAAAGTGTTGACGGACCAATTTGGTTCCTCCTGACTGCTTATATATATATAGTAAAGTGAAAAAAACAATTCAAGGAGAAATTGTTGAGCAAAAAAGAATCAGAGCATAAAGATTAAAAAATTTCTCAGACTGCCCATATTAAAAAGATGATAAGGAATGTTCAGAAGAGAAAACCAAGGGTATGGCTGAACTCTTACTCAATAAATAATTCATAGAATTATATGAGCTGTACCACTGACAGCTTGAATCAAAGCAAGAAAGATGAGATAAAATGAAGAAAAGCTGTCAGAGGTCTTATATCCAACATAATGGGACCATGTAGCCACTCCCCTGTGAACACAAACTGTCACTCAAGAAAAGGAAAGAAGGACTCTTATGGCAAATGAGAGATCATCAAGGCCAACCTCCCATTCTCAACAGGCCAAGACAGACTCTGATCAAAGCCACGAGGGGAGGACATCTTAAAGAGCTACGGAAGTGGGACTTCCCTGTGGAGCTGTGGAGCCAAGCCTCCCTAGAGCCTTCAGAGCATGACTCCTTCATGGAAAAGGCATGGAGGTGGGACCACAGCCTCAGGAGGTCCTCAAGACAAGACCATCTCAGTAAATCTGGCAGATACATTATCAAGCCAAAGAAAATTTATTCTGAAACTTTAGGTTCAGATGGAATTTGCCTTGCTAAAGTTTGGAGAGCTTGGAGCTCATTATACTTAAATTTATTCCTATTTATCCCTTTTAAAATGGAAGTGTATATCTTATGCATCCCACCATTGCATCTTAGAAGTACATAACTTGTCTAGATTCCCAGATTTTTATCTGGAGAGGAATTTTTGTCTCAGTATGAATTGTACCTTAAGTCTCACCCATATTTGAGTTAAATGCTATTTAGATGAGACTTCAGACTTTACACTTGATGCTGAAATCAGTTAAGACCTCTGGGACCTTGGGGATGGAATGATTATATTTTGTATGTGAGAAGGAAGCCAGTGAGAGAATACTATGGACTAAAATTGTGTTATCCCCAAATTCATATGTGATTCTATTTGGAGAAGGAGCTCCTGGAAGATAAATAGGTTTGGATAAGATCAGTAAGATGCTACTGATACAGGGTTCCCTCATTCAAGGTGGGGGACCCTAGTTTTCCTAGGCCTGGCAATTTCATGAAGGAAATGCCCTAATCTTTTTCTCTAGGCTGGAAGAACTGCATTCATTCATTTGTTAATACACTCATTAACTTTGAAAAGGTGTTTTTCCACCTACCAGGCTCTGGCTAAAGTATGATATATACCCCTAAACTAAGGACTCACATGAGATACTTCCAACTTAGGTCTTCCCCTTCACTAGAGCTCTGGTACTTTTTTACTCCTTCTGTATTCCTTTCTAATAAAATCCTATCTTAGCACTGAAAATAAAAAAAAAAAATAAAAAAAGAAAAAGAAATTAGGCGGTTCTCCTGTTGCAGTGGCTTTTATAGAATATGTACCAATAATGGTTGACTAATACTGACCCCAAAGATTAGTGAACAAATCGTGTAGGCAGATAATTATTCCATAGTACTAAATCACTTTTACTGAAGGTTCGGATTTAAGCAAGTTGATCAACTCATACGCTTAAGCAAGTTAACTAAGGGTTTTAAGTTGCTTTTGGTTATGGATATGGCTATAGGCAAAATTCTCTTGGCGCTTTTTACATCTGTAAGGTATTTTTCTAACTCCCTGAGCCAAATATTTCACAGATTCAACCAAAATGTAGTTTATTCACCTCAAACAAGAAAGTGGAGTAGTAGTTATTGATAAAAATCTTTTACATGTCCCCGCTCTAGCCCAACCCATGCTGGCTTTAACTCTGGATTACTTAAAAATTAAAATAACTCACCTCTGATGGATAATAATTTAGTGGCTCAAATTTAGCATCAATTTTATGAAAGGCCAATTCCTGTTCCAGCTCATACTGCTTCTGACATGCTCGTGTTAGTTCCATGGTCTTCTGTTTTAGCTATTAGCCCAAATTATATGAGACAATATATCATATCAGTAAGTTAGTATAAAGGTATAATGATATGGCAAGTTCTCATCATAACTAAAAATTATATTTTTAAAAATTCCACAGCAAACTGCACAGCATTCAGAACACTTTATCTTAATTCTAAAGTACTGTAAAAATTAAAATACAAAATTATCATAAGAGATCACATAAAAGACCTTTGAAGTTTATATGCTGTTTTAGGGCACAATGAATAAAGATTTTAAAGGTCATTTTGGGCCAGGCATGGTGGCTCACGCCTATAATCCTAGCACTCTGGGAGGCCGAGGCAGGTGGATTGCCTGAGCTCACAGGTTTGAGACCAGCCTGAGCCAGAGCCAGACCTTGTCTCTAAAAACAAAGCCAGGTGTTGTGGCATGCATCTATAGTCCCTGCTACTTGGGAAGCTGCGGCAAGAGAATCACTTGAGCCCAAGAGTTTGGGGTTATTGTGAGCTATGATGCCA